CCCTATCCAACTCGCTCCCAAATCCTAGCCCATCTCGCTTGATTATTACACCATGTAAATTTACTCCCCGATAATCTAGGTCGGCCATACCCACTCTATCACAACAATTATTAAAATCTAGCATACCGCTTATATCACAACTCGTACCACCTATTTTTTCATCCATTGATGCTATTACATTAAAATCCCCTCCCATAATCCACGGATCCATTGAAATTAACGTAACCTATCCAGTTTAGCCCATAACTCTTGACGTTCACCCCTATTACAACTCTCATACATCACGGACACACACACCACATCATGTAAAAGACACGAAATATTTACCATAACTACCTACTTATGTACGGACTCACACCCCACTATAATATCCTCATTCCAAAATAGCAAAATATGCCTATTTATCGGATTATGCTTGCATACATCTACTATACTTTATAGTTGTGGCTATATCATCTATTTTCTCCCCACCCGACTTAGGATCAATAATAGCCATAAACTTTATATTATGTTGTTTCTTTAACGCCTTAACATAATTAATCATATCCTTATTCCCCATCCTCCTAATATTCGAAATAAGTCCATAATTTAATTAAAAAGATGAGGAGGAAATACCTAGTGTTCTAAAAGTTGGACCTTGTCCTTCGACACCCTCGAGTAGCTGAAGCTTCTTGTTCCTAGTTATTTTCCGAAACTTCTTGAAGTTTTTCTTTACGACTTTCAAATCACTATCCCGAGTCTCCAAACTCCCCAAAGATAGTCGTTTACTATTTTTTTGATTTTTTCTCCTCCTCACCTTCCAACACCAACCCCTTCCATAAAGCTATCTCCTTATTTGTGCCCCTTTCTAAACACCATGATTCGGTATACCCCTTATATCATTCTTTTGTACCATACCCGTGTTCATCCCACCATGAGGTCTCTCCGGACATAAAATGATATTATCTACTCGTCATTGGTCTTCCAGCTCGAATACCTTTACACTCATGTTCCTTTAGAACACGTGTAGCCCTAATAGTCTCACACAATTCTTTGTCACTACCCACCATATTTACTAAGATACCAAGGGCCTCCATCTCATTCTCAAAACCTAACTATAAGTTCTCCTTTCCTTCATCGGTTTCGGAACTTCCGGTGGCACCAAAAGGCTTTGATACTTCATCAAATTCACTCGGTCTTGTTACTTTTGTCCCTCCATGATATTGCCCATAGAGTCCCATCCTTGACTCTTGTAAATTATCATCTCCTACAACTACCTCCGAGTCCGACCTTGTTAATGTTTGGAACCTCCCTTAAAGCCTTACTTCTAGCATGTACCACGGTGGCCATGGTTTTATTACATGCATTATTTTCAGCTATCTTTTTCTCAAAATTGCAAGCCATGCACACGTCCATTCTCTAAGGTTGTTTGGTACATTCACCCTCTTCAAATCTATTCGTAAATTTGCCCGACCTTGATGTCTTTCTTTGCACTGCAACCTATCGCCCCTTGTCTCTAATAGACATTTGTTGATGCTATTTACTTCCTTCCTTAAATCGAATGTCCCCATGTCTGGACGAGTTTCATTTGTAGGCTTTCCATTGAACCTCTTTCGACAACTCCCTTCATTATGTCCTATCAATCCACGACCCATACAATATACTAAATTCCCTTCATATTCTATTTTTAGCCAAAATCCGTCATCCTTTGAACTTCTCGCCCAAATTCTACTTGGTAAACTCTTAGAGACATCCACCTCCAAACACATTCTAGCAAACATTGGGTGTATGAGCTCCATAGTCCTCTCATTCATCCTTAAAAAGCTTCCAATCCCCTCTCTTATCCTTTTAAGATAAGTTTGGATTAAAAAATAACAATGGGAGGTGAGGAAGTCGTACCTAAACCGAAACTAAGGGGTTGTCCCTTCTAAAGTGGAAGTTTGAGTTCCACCAAAAGACACTATACATGCAATTTGTGATCTTATGATCCTCTCGTGATAAAGCTATAACCAACTCTTCCTCGGTCTCCAATCTCACCATTACATGCCTAGGATCTAGCAAGTTGATCACTAGCTCTCCCTTCAAACTCCATGCCCTTTGAATATGAGACTCGTATATCCCTAATTAATGGACGTCCCTTTGAGAATTTCAGCCCTAAAGTATTCGAAATTGAGTAGCTACCGTTTCTAGCTCAATTGGAGAGAAAAAACATCGTTGGTTCAAAGTTGATCAATGCTTGGTTGCCTTGGAGCTAGAGGAATCTCCTTCAATGGATACACCTTTGGATGCTTCGTCTTATTCCGTGTGAAACCTCGTTCACTCACAACCTTAGCATATGAAATAGATTGATTGGGTTGAGTGCTATATTTGGCTACTTGTATTCTACTCTATTCCCCGCACTAGTCCCGTAGATACTTGTCCCCTTCTTACCCGCATCAGTTTCATTGTGATTTTGATTAGCCATGGCCGACCCTATATGCGGCGTTCCTCTGCGTCGGCCTCCATTACACCGGTTCGGTGTACCTGGATTGGGTGTTTGTCGGTCTCGGGGCTGGCTTGGGGTCGGACACAACCGGTAATCCGACCACCATGATTGGATCTCCTTTTCCGGATGCTTCATGGCCACTTTTAGAATGTCCGAAATTATTGGAGATAACCCTATACTTTCCATGGCAGAAACCATTTGAGCCGGACCTTCGCTCTAGCCTCGGATGTAACATTCTTGTTTGTAACTTACCCTCAAGATTGATGCCCTCGGATTTGCTTGGATTGAGGCACCACCGGTGGCCGAGCCACCATGCCCAGAGTGCCCTTCTTGGTTGCTTCGCGGAAGGTTTCGACGGCTCCTAAAATTTCAAATCTAATTTCTAGTCTAAGGCAGTCCACCTTGTGTTAGTGTGATCCTTATATTTTTATTCTGTTTAGATTTTTTTAAAAAAAAAATGTAATGAGATCAAATTTACAATACATTAAGCATAAATATATTTGTTAATGTTTGTTAATTTATAATCATTTAGAGTTGATATTTTTGCAAAATAAATGGTATTTTTTTATGCAATTATACTTTGTTTTATAAGTTATCTAATGTAGTACTTTTCTTTTACGAGGCTTTGTCAATTTATATAGCACTTTTCCCATTCCAATTGTTTTAATTAAAATCCTATATATTTTTTTCATATTGATGGAATCATTTATTTTTCATTTTGTTTTGTTTCCATCCTTACATTATAACGTTATTAGTTCGTAAACTAACATGACATATAAAATTTTGAATGAGATAAGATTAGAGAACTTAATTATTCACCATTATCATAATTATTATTTAATTAATTAAAATATGAGATAAGACTAGGGGTTTGCAAATAAACAAAAAGTTTGAATTTTTTAAATAAATTCAGTTAATTTTGAAAAATATTGAAATATGCAAATAAAGTAAATAAATTATGCATTAAAAAATTGCCACATATAGTTTTCAATAAGAACAAAATAAATTTCAAACTATACATATTGAATTGGCAAATAATTTAAAAATAAATAACTATTAAAATATCAAAGTAAAATTACACAATTTGTAGCAAAGAAAATGTTTTTAAAAAATAAATTCTAACGTATATTTAAATTCTAATGCTCTGTTATGTGAATATTTTTAAAGTCATGTGTCTTGATAAGTTTTAACAATAATAAAAAAAAATCATTATTGTCAAATCATTAACATCATGAGATCTCAATTTATCTTTAAATTTATTGGTTTTTTATGTGTCTTTGACATTTTTCAGTAAAAAAAAAAAGCATTAAATGTATATTTAACAATATATTTTTGAATGGCGTAAGAAAATTAGTATAATTTTAAAAATATGCATCACCACAAACAGAAAAAAAAATCACAATTTTTATAAGAAAAATAAAACCTATAAATTAATTTCAAAATTACAAAAAAAAAAAAAAAATCAATCATCAAGAAAAATTTTATTTTTTTAAAAAAATAAAAACTAAATATATTGAAAAAAAATAAAAGAAATTAGGCCTGGTGCCTCCATGCCCAAATGCTATTTGCCAGGCCAAGATTTTAAGGCCTAACCAAAAGGAGCCTGGGCCAAGCTTCTAAGGACCAGGTACTTAATATATATTTTTTGAAAAAAAAAAAAAAAAAAGCTCGTCTTTTGCGTCTTTTTTGCTATCAGATTGTTGTCGAAAAATATAGGACAGTTGTCTACGACTTTCAAAACCGTTTTCACTATTTTCATCCAAAAAGACTTAAAACTCATACATACAAACGACATCTATAAATCCGTATTCAGCTCTAAAATCTATTTTAATCCATTTTAAATGGATTAAAAATGAAGTCAAAATCTTAAAAATAAAATGAATCACGATTTGGATCTTCATTTTTCGGTCATGAAAGAGTTTTTCATAAACATCAATTAACTTCATCAAAAACCAAAACATAACTCTTATGAACTTTTAAATTGAAATGAAAAAAAAAAATCCAAAAAGCGTCAAATAGCTGTGAAAGTCATAAAAATAACAAAAGTTACTACCCAAAATAGTGTTTTGAGTCCATAGATCACCAACATAGAATACTAAAATTCACTGTTATTTTCCCCTAACTCATTTAGTGTATTAGTAACAACTGCAACCATAATAGTAAATTAATCAATCTGTCGTAAGAAAACATGAAAAAAAAAAAAAAAAAAAAGATAAATATAAAGATAAACCCGCCCTATTTCCACCCTGTAGAGTTCCCGCCAAAAACCCTTCAGCTCCCAAATTTCCCTCCAAATAGTGGGATTCTTCTTTCTTGTGGTTAAACGACGCCGTTTGGTCCCATTCTCTGGTTATTTACTTCTTTTGAATACAAACAGAGAAGTGAAGCTATTAGGGCACGAATCGAGCGAAGCTGAGAGCAACGAAGTAAGTAGCTAATTCAATGAATCCAAATCTTTTTTAGGTAACTAATATCACGATCTCGCATGCTTGTTAATTCTGTTGTTGTCATTTGAAAACAGGCCGATTAAGCGAGCATGACTAGAGAAGAAAGCGAGAATGGAAGGGAAGACATGTTGATTGATGGACAGAAGCAGGGAAATGTTTCCATCCCTAACGAGTTTAACGTTAACTACCTCAAACTTTATTATGGTAATAAAACTAAACCCTTCCTTTATTTTAATTTCTTTTTTGCACACATCATATGATTTTAAATTATTTTAGTTTTGTTCGTTGAATGGCAGCAAAGCTTTTTCCTTATGCTGAGATGTTCAAATGGATGTCCTATGGACATGGTAATTTATGCATCTCTCTCTCTCTCTCTTTTTGTTTTGGGTGGGTGTGTGTGTGGGTTTGGTGAGTGCGTGTGCTGTTTCTTTGTGTCTAATTGATGTCGCTTGATTGATTATTTGTAGACGGGAAGCATCCGGCTTGTGACAGGTCTTACTTCAGCCGGAGAGAGTTTTCTTTTACACTGGAAAATGATATTTATCTTCGGTATCAGTCTTTCAATAGTGTGGTTCAACTTGAAAATTCAATCAAAGAGAAGTGCCCCTTTAAAATTGACATCGGTCCTGTTTACAGTGTAGATGTAAGTAAGATTTGTATATTCTTATTTCTTGTTGTTTGTGTTAACTTGGGAAATTTGTTTCTTGGGGCTTAACAAGGCATGTTAAAGTCGATTACTTTTATCATGGTTTCAATTTTTGGACCAACATCGAGCACTAACGTGTTGTTAATACCATGCTGAACTTCGATCTCTTAACTTAGTGACCGGTCACGGTTGCAATATTGGGATGGGTTTTGGACAATTGGTGTGTTTAAGCATAGGAGAGACGTAAATCATTATGTTATTTTATTTTAGTTATGCGTGTTTTTTTCCTGCATAATTTTCTGGCCCCTTTCTTCTCAAACATGCGTAGTGTTTTACGATTATTACTTTGCAGCCTGCTAAGAAGAATGCCTATGCCCAAAGTGGTGATAATGTTTTTACTCCAGTGGAGAGGGAGCTAGTTTTTGATATTGTAAGCCATTTGCACTGCTGAAGACACTAAATTATCACAGCCTAGTTTAACATTTTATTTTTACTAATTGGGTAGTTGACATGCTTAATTTCCAATTCTTCAGGATATAACAGACTACGATGATGTTAGATATTGCTGCTCTGGAGCTGATGTTTGCTTGGAATGCTGGCCTTTAATGACAATTGCTATTAAAGTGATTGATACTGCACTTAGAGGTAGGAGTCCTTGCTGTCTTCATTCAAAATTCCTCCTTCTGTTTTGGATAAAACATTGCTTTACTGAAAGGAAGAAAATACAGCATTGTGAGGACAAGTTGTCTTCTAAAGCAAAAGGGGAAATGGAAACAACCAAGTTAATAGGGCTTTCTAATTCACTGTAGTTTCTTGGCATTAGCTCTTACTCGAATCTGGTTCTCTTAATCAACATTGTTATAGATGCCACAGAGCATTGTCTAGTGCAGCAACTCACATGAATGTCATATAGAGTAACTGCTGATGCAAAATTTCACTAGTGTTCATAATAAAAGTCACTACGAGCGATATCTTCTTCATTCTTTCAGCTCAACCTCCAGTCACAGTGAAGTATAATCCAGTAAGGGTTGCTTTTCCCTTCTTTTTTTCTCCATCTCTCGCTGGTCAATTTATAGGCATAAAGGTCAGAGGATGGAGGTAGAGCTAACTTAATGCCTTGCTAATACTTGAGACTTAAAATATAGAACCCAAACTCGTGTTTTCACTGGAACTTAATTAGTTGTTATCATGCAGATGACTTTGGCTTTAACCACATTCTATGGGTTTATAGTGGCCGGCGTGGTGTCCATTGCTGGGTTTGCGATGGAAAAGCAAGAAGGTAAAGCATCTTATAAGCTGTAAGATATTTTCTTTTTGTTTGTTGCCTAAGATACATTTCAAAGGTTTTAAATGCTCTACCATTACTCCTGCAGGTTTACCAATGAACAGAGAGCAGCCATTGCTGATTATTTTAGAGTATACAATGTATATTTTAGGCATATAATTGTTTTAGATTTGTTTTCATACAGATAAAATTTTAATCGAAGTTGCTGATTCTGTACTTTATTCAGGGAAATGAAAATAGCAATAAAAAGGTTTCATTGACTGGTGCTGCTCTTCATCCTTTCCTCACGTAAGTTCTCGTCATAATGTTGTTAATTTATTTTGTTGTCAGAGTTCTGGATCTATTACTCTTATACTGAGACAATTTGTGCTGCAGGAGATCGTATTCTGAAGTTCTTGAGCACTTTTTTGAGACAAAATTGCTTCCCTGTCAGAATATATTTTCAACCGAGGATAGATATGAGAAGATTCTGGAGATGATTCCGGACGAATGTATAGAAATTTCATGATATTTCTTCCATATACAGTTACTTCTACGTCTTTCTGCCATTTTTATTTTAAGGTATGCCATCTTTGCAGCTGTTACTTCTGAACTTCGGGGAAAGTGGCAGACTAAGCGATGCTCAAAAGAAGACATTAATATTGTTCGATGGGAACAGCTAAAGAACACACTGCGATCTGGGAAACATAAACATAAAGTAAGAGAATATTTGTAGTGCAACCGTTTCTTTTATGAAATCAGTATAATCATGTTTCTCATTTGTCATCGGTAGGCCAAATGAATGTTTTTCTTTGACTAAGCACTAACGCCCTATTGCTGCCAAATTGTAACATTTCTTGGCACTTCTGATTATCTTATCATTTTATATAAGTTTCTTGTTGCCTGGTATTGCATTAGAGGGTATTGTGACTCTAATACATTTGTTGAACATTAGTGCATGAGAATTTTTCTTACTCCTTTCCTTTTTCCTAATCGTGGTTGGCGATCTTTCATGGAGAAGTGGTTTCGAGTAAAAATTTGGGGAAATTATCAATGATTTTAACTATGTCCAGTGTGTTTGCAAAGATCTAGTTGTGCCATTCACAAATATTTTGTTGTTAACCAGTTTTCATCCCTTAAACCTGGGATCATAAAAGGGAGAATATGAAGACAGTATTATCCTAATGCTCAGACTGCTTGAGTGAAGTATCTACTCTCAATACTTGGACTTGTCCATTTGGAATTGCAAATTAAGACTTGTATTCTTGCACCAAGCAAATGTTCCCTGATACATTGCTTGAGTAACAGTAGAAATATTTAGAGTTGAAAGCTGGAAGAGAAAATTATACGAGAGAGGAAAATAGTTGAGAAAAACGTCAATAATGGATTCTTGGGAATGAAAGGAAAGAAACAAACTCCTTACTCAAGCACTTCAAGTGTTTGTCTGATTTAGGGAAACATATTGGAATTGATTGAAGGGAATTGGTTGTTCATGGACATTGTTATCAATCTGCTGTTGAAGACAATTTGCTGTAGTCAGATTATACTAGTTTCAAATTGTTATTTATGAACACTACCATTTTGGAAACCAAGATGGTTGGACAAAAAGTTTCTGATTAACTTGAGACCTTGATCTCATTTCTTCTATCATAATCTCAGCCTTTAAGATTTCTCTCATTTGCATATGGAAGGCATGGATCTCATGAATGCTGAAACCGTTGCTCTTTCATTATTTCGGTTCTTGTAATGAGTGCTTTCATTTTTTATTTTGTTTTTACCTTGTGGTTTGAAATTGAGATTTCAGGCATGTGTCATGTTTGTTGGCTCCTGGGCAAGAATTCTTGTCTACTTTGCATGAAACAGCCCTTTGCTCTTGTAAATGTCACGTTGCCTTTATGTTCATTGTGCTTGATTTCTTGTTTTAGGCACAAGGGCTGCATAGGTGTGTTGAAGAGATTGTGTTTTCCTATACCTATCCCAGGCTTGATATGGAGGTTTGAGCAATACTTATGTCATCTTTCAATTTTTTTATTCTATCTTCTTTAAAATTTAAGTTCTCCAAGAGTGCAACCACATTGAGGTGGCCCATTTATTGAGATAGAGTTGATTATAAGCTTTTAGTGAGTATATAACTTCTACATAATTATACATTTGTATCTTTACACTGGACGAGTTTGTGTGCATGTTAGGTCTCAAGGCACATGAACCATTTGCTGAAGGCACCTTTCTGCGTACATCCAAAAACAGGTGGGCACCTGGAACTTCTGTTGGTTTCTGCAATGAATGCCATGAGTGTGAAAATTTGACCTAAAAGCATCAATCATCCTAAATTTTTAAGGTTCCTTTTTCGGAAGTAATATTAGCTTTTATCATAAAATGGCATGGAGGACCTCTTGTAACTTTATAGAAGTTTCCACAACCATCTTTTTTGAAGCGTTAGCTAGCGTTGGTTCTAGTTTTGTTACAATACTTTGTTTTCTTTGCTCCAGGACGTGTTTGTGTGCCAATTGATCCAAACCATTGTGATGAATTTGATCCAATTGCTGTGCCAACTCTTTCTCGGGTAATGATGTACCAGCTCTAGATTCATAGATTTTGGATTTTCTACCTTCAGGTGTTATTTGATAACAAAAAATGTAATGATGAGAATGAAAATAAAAAGTTCTATTTTTATTTTGTAGGTATTTAGTTGAAGAGAAGGAAACAAAAATAAAAATGAAAATTAAACATAGTTTTATTCTCATGTATAGAGATAAGAATAACAATAAGGAATGAAAATGAATTTTTTTCTTTTCAAAATAATAGCATATTATTTTTATTTTTGTATATCAACTATTTCTATCATCATTGCCATAGCGATGGTTATAAAAAAAATAAAAATAAAAGTAAAAAAAGTGAAAACTTATCATCATCATGATTCTGCCGCTACTCTTCCTTCACCACTACTATCTCCACCACTAAATTTTTTTTAAATAAATATTATTATTATTATTTTGTCATTTCTCCTCCACCATTATTATTATTATTATTATACCACTATCATCATTATTCTTTTACTATCACTTTCTATGGTGGTGGTATTAATTTTTTAAAAAATATATTATTATTATTATTTTTTCACCATTACTTTTTATGGCGGTGGTATTAATTTTTTAAAAATATATTATTATTATTAATATATTACTATTACTGTTACAACTTTCTTCTCTTCCTCCACTACCACCACTACAATCAACTTTATCAATTTTATTATCATTATAGTTGATGAAATTATTATGTTAATTATTATTTTTATTTTTTAAAAAAAATAGATATTAAAAATTTGAAATTTCATTTTGATTTTCTATTCTTATTCCAAACACAATATGAAAATACAAATATCATTTTGATTTTTTAATTTTTAATTTTGATTCTTGTATTCTTATTTTGGATTTTTTATTTTTGATAACCAAATGAAACCTAAATGTACTTCTTGGCTTCTAGAAAAGTCTTCTAAAATTCCTCTTTCAAGCGTAAAATGACTAATAATTTTCCTTTAGAATTGGTACGTTGAGATGTATAGTCTTGTTCCTATGTCTTCTTTTATTGGTCATTTGTTATATTACTTCAGTAAATGCTTTGGAGTAAGGAAGATTCTTTGGTACAGCGGGAAATACTGCATGTTATTTTGTGGAATTTCTCCTTCTCATGAGTCATTGAATAATTGTTCTGGATTTGCAGTTATTTGAAGAACTTAACATGGGAGTAATGAGAGCAGATGATGGCAATGGTAAATGACTGCAACCCTTAACACGTTTGAGCATTCTTTGGTGGTTTGAAGATGTTGTAAGATTAGCTTGACCATTGCTTTAGGAAATACTGATGTTGAGTCATGTTTATTGTATTTGCATTACCATTTGGATGCTACTTCAGAATTTCTTTATCATAGAATCGGTAATTGCTTACATAATGTTCTTTCTTATGGCAGAATGGGATAGAACCTCACTTGGAAAGTCGATTGGTTTTTTCAGATCGTCATTTTTGCAACCTCTTCTAAAATCTTGCAAGGTATATCTGCGCCTGTTTGGTCATATATCTATGGCTTATGAAACTCACTTATTCAGAATCATGATATTGCAGGAGGAGTTGGAGAGCTCCTACAATGAAAAACTGCAGCACTCAAAAAATTCCCTGAGCTGGTAGTACTTTCCAGCGATTCATCAGTCTTTTTCTTTGGAATCAGGTTGTATCTTCTTTTCGCTTGTGTAATACGGTGTAATTTATTGGGTAATCAATGTTGCAACGTTCCTTGTAATATCATTATCAAGTTAGAAGAATCTTTCTAATTACTCGCATTTTCGTAAACTTTATTGCCGCATGTAAATGTCCAAGTTCTCTCATCCAAGGAAAAGAATGTCTCTGGAATACCCGTTGGTTACTGGACCAAAAGTTTGAACCGTAGGAATTTGAACCAACCAATTGTTTCGGAAGTTCTGGCTACGTTTGAAGTTGGACTGGGTTGGGACGACGGGGCTGAAAGCTATAGAGTGTAATTGTAATATTGTCTGGCCATTCCGGCCTATGAAGTTGTGGCTTCTTTTTTTTTTTTTTAGGTATTTTTATTTTTATGTTTGAAATAAAAGCTATAAGGTTTAATATTTGTTGAATTTTCAACCAATATGATTTTGTTATAAAAAAAATAATAACAATAGTAGGATTGAAGAGGAAAATAATTGAAAAATAAACTCAGCATAAGGCTTCATTTAGCGAAAAACAACTTTTATAGAAAAATCAATTCTAAATAAGTTATTTTCTAAAAATTTGTTTTTTTAAAAAATATTTTTTGATATTTGGTAATTATATGAAAAAATTATTAAAAAACATATTTCAATTTTTGTTTGATACATAAAATTAAAATATAAAAATAGGTTGTAATTCTTATATCAACGAGTTTTGAGGAAACTTCAATAATGTATATTCACAATATAATATGTATTTAGAAAAATTTAATAAATTTTTACAAGTACTAATTCTAAGATTTAAATTCAAATAGATAAAAAAATAACATGTACATTTTTAACTATTAAACTAATTTATCAAAACTACTTAGGATAAAATCAAGTTAATATTCATATTTAGTAAAAAAAAATTCTAAGTAATCCTAACATTGTTTTTTTGGTAACTCAATTAAGAATTCTTTTCTTTCTTTTTTTTTTTTTTGGGAAATTGAACAAATAATTTATTCTAAAAATAATTTTATAAATTATTAGTTATTATTTGTAGATAATTATTCATTTGGTTTCAAAAAATTAATGTTGGAATAATTTATAACTAATTATTGATTACAATTACCAACAAAATTTTACAACCGATTAAAATTACTCACAAATTATTGATTTAGTTGCAAATGAATAGTGTTGAAAAAATAATGTATTTATTAACTAATCAATTAGTTTCAAATTTTTCACAAATGATTACCGTCTTTTAATAATCATTTCTTATCATTTAAGTATAGTCTAGGTGATGTTTGAGATAATGGTAAAAAAAATATAGAAAAATTATTGAAATATTTATTATAAAAATAATTTTAAGATGTAAAAATAGTTTTTAAGAATATTTAAAGTATTTATAAATCGAAAATTAAATGTTCATAGAAATAGATAAAAATAATTAAATAATTGATAATAATTGATAATAAATAATTAAAAATTAATTTGATATGTTTTAAGTAAAAAGGAGATAGATAAAAAAATATTAAAATATATCAAGAGAGAGGTGAGTAACGTAAGAACGAGACGACTTTGCGAGAGAGAGAGCAAATATTTTCCTCTTTTTTAACTCAAAAAATACTCGTTCTAAAAATACTATATCGAGTTTTCGTTGATTTTTTTCCTAAACGCGAAACAAACATTAAAAAATAGGAGAAAATGGAGAAAACAAGTTCATAAAACTTATTTCCCCCAAACAAACACATCCTAAGATAAAGTGAATTCAAGAGATAATAATTTTAAATAATCTCTCAATTTTTACAAAATATTTGTACACAAACTAATAAACCATCAAGCATATTTATAAGCTTTAAAATAAAGAAAAGAATTGGAAGGGACTATAAACTATTAAAAGATGCATAAATAACTAAATAAATTACATCACTCTTTTAATTTCTCATATTGAATGGTGAATTGAATCACATAAGTAGTGAAAATATAAAATGATCATGGACATTCATTATTTCATAATACTTGCTCTTTGAGTATCCATCGTACAAAAGCATGCCTTGTTAAAACCTTACTAAGCAAAAACCCAATGGAAAAAAATCCTAATAAAGGAAAAAAGTACAATATTCCTTATACACATTAATCTTTATATTGGGGTTCCCCCTATTGAAAACATCATTTAAGAGCTTTAAGACCACGCCTCTTTTGCAAACCTTTTTCTCAAAAAATGTGATAGGTAATACCTTAATGAATAAGTCTCGTCGGATTATCAATTTGATGTATTCTTTCTTTAATTGAATCATGCAAGCATCATTATCTTCATATGATATTGTTGAAACTTTTGTGCTTGATAGATAAACCGCATGTCTCTCGGATATGATGGGTTATTGATCTAAGCTAAACACATTCTTAACTTGTCTCGCGAATTGGTATTTTTGCATGGTTTGAATATCTAGCAGCTTATAGTTTGCTTCATAGAACGTCACGATATAGTCGTATCATCAAGTGTAAATATATAACCCATCCGTAATCAAGTTTTGTATAAATCGGATAAATAACTTGCATTTTCATAATCGATTAAACCTAACTTTGATTTATTTAAGTAAAATAACTACTATATCAATTTTTTCTCGAAGATAAGGTAGGAAATGTTTAATTTCATTCGAATGTCTCCGTATTGGAGTAGAACTATGACTTGCTAATAAATTTGTAGAGAAGACTATATCAAGTCGAGTATTATTAGTAAGATATATCAATCCATCAATCGCACTAAGATATGATACTTTAGGATCAAATAATTCTTTATTATCTTCTCGAAGTCAAAGTGAACAAATTACCGTTAGGCTAATCAATGGAGGAGCTTTATATAGAATCATTATAGAACTTTTTTTATATAAATTGACCAATGAATAAAAACATCATTCTCTAAGTGCTCGAACCGTAAGTCGAGATAAAATTTTGTTTCCCAAGGTATTCTTATCAAATTCTCTTTTTAGGTAACTTATGACACTTTGAATCTCTTCGGAAATTCCAATTATATTTAAATCATCAGCATATATAACAATTATCACAAATCATTTTTTCAATTTTTTTATAAAAATACATGAGCAAACATGGTTATTTTTAAAATCTTCTTTTAATAAATATTTATTGAAGCAATTATACCACATGCACACAAGTTAGTAATATAAAGAGTAGATATTGAAAAATAAAAAATAAATATAAAAAAGTATAACATAAATTGAATTTCTAAAAACTAAAATAATAAAACAAATGCTAAAATAATTTCGATAGAGATCTCTATAATTTAATTGAATTCATTTCTTGAGAATATGCATTATATGCTTCGTGTATCTTAAGTCCTTTTAAGACTTTCATATAGATATCATTTTCAAGCGAACAAATATGCTATGATCACATCCATTAAATATATGCATATGAAGTTTTTTATATATTTTGCTAGGCTAACGAGATAATAAAATATAATTACATCTATTATATTAGAATATATCTCTTCATAGTCAAAGTCAAGTCCTTGCAAAAACTCTTTTGTTACAAGTCTTATTTTGTATCTCATAATCTCATCTTTCTTATTTCGTTTCGTAAAAATATTTATTGGTATTCTACTAGCTTGACATCTTCGAGTATTTTGATTATGAGTTTTAAAACTACTCATTTGTGAAAGAATATAATTTCGTATGGATTTTTTTTTCATTTAGGCTAATTATCTTTATGTCGATATTCTTCAATAAATTTAGGCTCAAAATATCAATTGTAACATTATATGCAAAAATCTTATCAATAAATGTTTCTTTTCAATCTTATTTTCTTCCTATATTGACATAATTTATCAAAGTCTCTTAATTTTTCTCAAACATTTAGACTTCTTCCATAAGCCTATTATCGGATGTAGCTTGGACCATTTTATAAATATTTAAATCCTTTATTTTAATTATTTGCCCTTTTTTTTAGGGATTTTTACTTTTAGAATCGATCGATCTTTCACGAGTTCGGACGTGCTTTAGATTCATTTGCTATAACATGTCCTTCTAGAACATCAATTCTAATAGGAGTATTCTCGACGGGGACATGTATTTTAGTTACTTATTTAGGATATGAGAATGCATCTAACGGTTGATTTACAATACCTTATAAATAAATTATCTTTTAAACTTCTAGTTCACGGTATTTTGCGTAAGGATCCGGATGATATAAGATAGATTACTCAATGTAATATTTTTTTCAATATTTTTAACTCGCTTATTTTGCTTATTCTCTCCCCTAATGTTAGAAAAACTATTTCATCAAAATGGCAATCGCTAAATAGATTTGTAAAAATATCTCCCGTTCATGGTTCAAGATATTGAATTATCGAAAAAGATTCAAATTCAACATATATTCTCAATCTCCTTTAAGTGCCCATTTTAGTTCGTTATGGATGAGCACTACGGATATATACTCGTAATGCCAAAAAATCTCAAATAAGAAATATTTGGCTCATAATCATAACCTAATTAAAGGGGAGAGAATTTCTAATAACTTATAAGTCCGATGTGGATAAATGTTGTTGCATGTAAGATTGTATGTTCCTAAACACAAAAAAAGAGTTTTTTTTTTTTAGATAATGGTTTAGCTATCAATTGGAGTCTTTTGATAAATAATTTTGCTAAACCTTTTTGAGAATGAACATGAGCAAAGGATGTTCAACTTTTATTCTAGTGGCCAATTGATAATCATTTACTACTTAGAAGATAAATTCACCAATATTATCAAGGTGAATTATTTAATGGCATAATTTAGAAATTATGCTTGTAATTGAATTATTTTGGTCGGCAATCTCGAAAATATCGGGTTTCAAGTAAATAATAAATATACACATGACCATTTTACGGATGCATCTATTAAAATTATAAAATATCTAAATGGTCCATATGGTAGATGAATTGATCAACATATATCACCTTGAATACATTCTAAAAATACTAGAGATTCAATCTCAATTTTACTTGGTGATGGCTTAATAATCAATTTGCCTTGAGAATATACGGAACATGAAAATTCATTAAATTGAAAAATCTTCTAGCTCTTCAATACATGCCCGTATGAATTTTTAATTTTTAATTTTTTTATATCATGAAAGACCTAGGATAAAATAATTGGTCATGTCATATAATAAAAATATTAGAATTAATAAACTTCGGGTTTACTACGGCATTTGTTTCAATCGTTCTAATGTTTATAATAAAGACCAAAAGAGAAAGCAACTAAATTTTTTCAATATATATTTTCTACCCAATATAATAATTATAATATATAAGTATTCAATATTTTTTACATTTGTTGTCTTGGTATGATATCAATTTAAATAAATATCTTTAAAACTCAATAAATTTTTATAAGACTTTAGAGAGAATAGTACATCATTTGTAGTAAAATTTATCCTTTTAATTAATAACGTATTTTCCTTTCGGAGTCTTTAAATTATATCACTTCAAGTAATAGTATATTCGCTCTTCTAGAGCTTTTAAAAATTATCTCTTCAAGTAATAATATTTTTACTCTTTTAAAGCTTTTTGTTAAATTGATATTATTAAATATAATATTAACACAAAATAAATAAATAAATATTCTTTATAAATATAAATAAAAAAATTTATAGTAAAATAAATTTATAACTATCTCTATGTAATAGAAATTATAAGAAAATATAAAGCATCTTATTTATAAATAGAAAAGCTAACAAATTATTAATTTTAATTACCTCTATTTTGATATATAAAATTAGCCTCTATATTTTAGTCTTTTCTTTTTCAATGAGGCTTGATAAGGTCAATGAGGTGCTTTGGTGTACGTGAGTACGTGAACAATGTTTATTCATGCCACATCTATAACATTCATTTTCAAAATACCGACTTGATCCATTTTTATTCTTTTATTATTTTTTTATAGTTTATCTACTTCTAGTGGCGATTCTTTTATTATTTTTTTCATAGTTTATCTACTTCTAGTGGTGAGATATATTATTATAGTTATCATGATTATAATAATAATTATTCCAACCATGTCTATAGCTATGACCACATCTTCGACCATGTCCAAAATTACTATAAGTTATCATATTCATTTCGGGAAATGAAATAGATACGGTTGGACGAGATTTATTCTTTTTCATCAATAGCTTGTCATTTTATTTCAACACGAGCAAGTATGAAATCGATTTAGAATATTTTTTAAACTCTTTTTCTCGATATGTTATTGTAGGAACATATTCGAGAAATGAAAAGTAGAGAATATTTATTTAGCATTAAGACTCATGATCAATAATTCTTGTCCAAAATGTCAAGGGTCATAAAATTAAGTTTTACGAGGTTTGATATCATAAAAATTCTATAATGCAAAGTATAATCATAATATTACGAAATAAAAACAAAGTATAATAATAAAATTTAAATAAAAACAAACATAATAATAAAATTTAAGATTTTTAAACAATATATATTAGATCATCGGATTCTATATATTAAATCATTTAAGTTTTTCAAATGTATATTCTATGTATCATTAGATTTAAAGTACATGATAAATTAAATACATACGTCTTAATGATATAAATAATTTAGATCTTTTGGTAAAGCATTTATGTAGAAAAAATCCAACAATTGAAACAAATGATTAAGTATTTTGATAGATACATACCTCATGGTCTATCATCTCGATTGGTTAGAGCTTTTTGTTGATAACTTGTTATAAAAGAAATTATAACAATAGTAGAATTAAGAGAAAGATGATAGAAAAATGAATTCACTATAAGATAAAGTGAATACAAGAGATAGCAATTCCAAATAATCTCTTAATCTCTAACAAATACTTGTACACAAACTAGGCTTCAAGATTAAGAAGAGAATTGGAAAGGACTATGAACCATTAAAATATGCATAAATAATTGAATAAATTACATCATCTTTTCCATTTGAATTGAATCACATGAATAATGACAATATAAAATGATCATAGATATTTATTATTTCATAACAGATTCTAGAATTTGATTTTACATATTGCTAAAAAATTCATTTGTCAACTAGCTTGTTTACCATTGGGTCTTTGAAGTTGTAGTTTTTTGTCTTATGCCATGAAAATAAAAGATGTGCATACCACGTAGAGCTAAGTCAAGAATTCAATTTCAAAGAAATTTTGTCTCATGCCATGAAAATAGAAGATGTATACACCGAGTAGAGTTGAGTCAGGATGGTCTGATTGGGAAAAACTTGGGTTCGGTGAGAATATTTTACAGTAGTTAAGAACCATATCAATATGCACGCCTGTCCATTGGAATTTCCAAAGCTCTAATTTTTGTTGCCTAAGGCTAGGAAAGAAAAATCAAAACGACTTGTAATTCTTTTCATGAATTACAATAGATTAGTGTTACTATATATCGACCATAATAAATCAATAGTAACATCCTAAATTGTCCAAAACACTTGTCAACCCCCAACTACTATAAGGTCCAGTACGTCCTACAACTATAACTAAAAGCCTATGAATTTACAGTGACTCAATCAGTAAAAGCCTAAGGATACGCCTCAGGCCTTACATCCCATATTCTCTTTCATATCCTCAACATCAGTTCCAGAAAACAACTTTGCCAACCCTGTTGGTAATGGAGCCGGTTTCAGTTCCATGAGATTCTCCTCATCATCATGGCTACTAATCCATCCATAGTAAGGCCTGTGCCTACGGGGTGGTACACGGTACGGTGGTTGAGTAGGGTGGCTAGTGTTGCCAAGTTGTTGAACACCATCAAAATGCACCATAGTCATTTTCTTGCCGTCAATAATTTGCTTTTTCAGGGAATTCTGGTCCAAACTTGTGTCTTTTTAGTTGCTTCCTCCTTTAGGTGCTGAGGAACATGAATTACCATCCAGAAAACATCAGTGATGTAATAAGAATAACTTCACAGTCCACAAAGATGTATGGAAGCAATTCCATTTAATGGTACAAAAATAAAAAGCATTTCTTCTAAGTTCACCGATTCTAAGGACTGTTAATCAACGTTGGCATGTCAAGTAAAAGAAACTTGGAGAAGAAAACTTTAAAAGTTGACAATTCTTGAATTTGAATATCCAAAGATTGTTTTCTCTTATTTTATAGCAATGCTTTGAGAAAAGAATGGGAATCTGATGACTAAATTCTTTACGAGGTAATGCTATATCCGGAATAGCAGCCTGTAATGTGGTGTGTAGAACTCCACTAGTCTGAGATGAAGGGGCCACAACTTTTGTGATGTAGCAAGTCGATATGGAAACACCATTTGAGGTACCAATAGCTGTTGTTTTAGTATTGTTTCCAATTGGTATCACGATATCATTTTCACTCCTCTCATTCTCTTGTAATGTATTAATCTTCATAATAGATGGAAAAAAAATCATAAGTAGAAAAGTAGTCAATCCACGAATATAATTCCTTCAAACTTTTTTCCACAAGAACTTTCCGTCCACAACTTACAACAAAAGAACCATAAAGCATCAAGTAAATTGTAACCACCAGAAATACAGAAACAGGATAAGTACTGCAAAACTAACAATACCTATAGAAAGTGCTATTTCCTATTGATACAGGAACCTCAATGGTATTATAATCGTATAATGATCCATCAGGTAGGATGGAAGATACTAGTCTCATCCCATAGCACTATGAAATAGCAGCTACAGAAAAGAAATCATCTGCTGGTAGAGGACTGAAAATAAAACAATATAAAACAACTAGCCAAACCAAGTATCATTGAAGCATAGCCCAGACCTCATGGATACAAATTGCCTCTATAGTTTTACGTGCATGTGCATCAGTAATAATATTGTCACGATTCAATATACATAAATTGACTCTATAGTTTTATGTGCATGTGCATCAGTAATAGTATTTTCACAATTTAATACACAAGAAAAGGAAAAAAACATAACCCTTTATTTGGAAACCAAATAGCTAAACACGTTGATGTGACTTAATGTAATCACACACAGCAAGCCAAAGTTTTAAGCAATAAGTTAGCTAAGAGCAAGTTAGAATGGATAAAGGGAGAAAACAACTACTAATGAGAGAGCGTTAGAAGAAGAAGAAGACGAAGAAGAAAATTGATAATTTCAAACAAACTCCAAGTAGGGGCCCTAGTACATTTTGGATATAGCTATCCTTGTTCAAGCTTGGTATCACGCAAAAAACTACATTAACAAACATCATCATGGTCAATTGAACTTTGTCCCATCTTTAGTTGCCAATAAAATTGAGTAAAATGAAAACATGAAATTGATCCCTGCATATTCATTTCAGCTTTCCTAGGAATCAAAGAGTTCCTCTCAATTAATATGCGACCCATCCAACTAGTTCAGGATTAAGGCTGGGTTGATTTTTGTTAAGCCTCCTATTAAATAAAAAATGAACAAATAAAAATGGGTTGCAATGATTGTTTTCTACGAACTAAACAGTTAAGAAAAAAAGGCCACTATGCTGGAAACTAGTAGTAATGGGGTCCTGATCAAATTGGAAAGCAATTTCTGGTCTTCTCATTCCTGCAGTACTCAGTAGCCACACAAGGGATACAAAAGAAATTGAACCAAGAGAAATTGACATAAAATATCAAGTTTCTAGACAAAAAAACAAAACAAAAAACGAAACAAATTAAATATATCAATTAAAATTATGTACCTTCTCATGTTCCTCCTTTTCAACCTCCTCGAGAATTGCCTCAAGCAAGACCTTGTCTGAACTCCCTTCAGTAAAGGGCCAACCTTCCTCACCATGTAATTGACTTAATAATTTCTTGTCAATAATAATTTCTTGTCAAAACCATAAATGTCAAAACACATTGAAAACATCAAAAAACAAAAAACCCACCACCAAGAGCCCTCTAACAGTTGAAACAATCAACCCATTGGAGAAACCATAACTCTTCATTGCATCTACGGTAGCATCCATCCTTATTAGCCTCTAAAGAAAGAAAGAAAAAAAAAAAAAAGCATCTAGTATGAGAAAGAAAATGAAAGAACAAAAAAAAAAAACACCATTTTGGGGTGTCCTCTTGGTCTTGGTGCTCTTGGATACATTGCTGATTCTTCCTTTCTCTTTGTGGTTCTTTTTTGTGATGAATTTTATATGTCAGCCAACAAGTTGATAATTGAAATGACAGAAAATACAATAGAAATAAAGAAAATAAGGAACCAATTATCAAAACTGTTTTGTGTCTATTGGCTAATTCTAGCCATGAAAACAGACAAAAAGGACGATGAAGATGAAGATGAGCTGGTTCAGCTATGGCATTTTAGGTGGAATGTATGAATAATAGGAGCTGTTTAGGCTTAGTGCATTTAGGCAAGTTTTGGGGATGCAATGAAATAGTTGGTATGGTAATTAATGTATTTATATTCGTATTTTCATAACATGTTTTTGAGTGATGAGAAAAAAAATGGAACTATATATTCTAAAAAAAAGTTTAAATTTATTATAAAAGAAGAAAAATGATAAAAAATAATTTTACTATAAAATAAAGAGAATACAATAGATAATAATTTCAAACAATTCTCTCAGTCTTAACAAAATACTTATATATAAATTAATTAACAACCAAATCTATTTGTAGGCTTCAATATTAGAAAGAGAATTGGAAGGAACTATGAACTATTAAAAGTATATAAATTATTGAATCAATGACATCATCTTTTCAATTTCTCATATTGAATGATGAATTGAAGCATATTAAGAATTATAAATAGTGGGGATATGAAAAGCATATAAACATTCATATGAATATTTATTATTTCCTAACACTTCCATTTGAATATTAGAAAGAGAATTGAAATGAACTATGAACCATTAAAAGTATATAAATTATCAAATCAATTACATCATCTTTTCAATTTCTCATATTAAATGATGAATTGAAACATATTAAGAATTATGAACGAGTGAGGATATGAAAAGCATATAAACATTCATATGAATATTTATTATTTCCTAACACTCCCTTTTGAATGTCTATCGTATAAGTAACATGTCTCATTAAAACTTTATTAGAAAAAAATCTAATGAGAAACAAATCATAATGAAGGAAAAAGAGTACAATATTACTTGTAAACATTAATATTTATATTGAGTTCCTCTTATTAAAAACATCATTTAATATATTTAAGATGATGCGTCTCAATCTTGTGAACCTTTTTCTCAAAAATTATGATAGGCAATGCCTTATCGAATAAGTCCATTGGATTGTCACTTTGATGTTTTTTTTAATTGAATTATGTAAGCACCATTATCTTCATATAATATTATTGGAACTTCTTTCATTGGTAGATAAATCGTATATCTCTCGAATATGACGGTTCGTTGATCTTATCCAAACACATTCTCGACTTACCTCATGAATTTGTATTTTTGTATGGTTTGAATATTTAGTAGCTATAGTTTGCCTCATACAACTATAGTTGGCTTCATAGAACATTATGATATAGTTGTATCATTATGTGCATTACATAACCCATTTGTAATCGAGTTTTGGATAGATTAGATAAATAACCTACATCTACATAATCAATTAAATTTAACTTTGATTTATTTGAGCAAAATAAATATCATATCAATTTTTCTTCGAAGATAACGTAGGAAATGTTTAATTTTATTTCAATGACTTTATATTATAGTAGAATCATGTCTTCTTAATAAATTTATAGAAAAGGTTATATCGAGTCGAGTATTATTAGTAAGATATATCAATTTACTAGTGGCAATAAGATATGGTATTTCGGGACCAAATAATTCTTCGTCATCTTCTCAAGATCGAAAAGGTTCTTTTTAGATATCAATTAAACGAACTACCATTGGATTAGTCAATGGATGATCTTTATATAAAATCATTATAGGATTTTTTTTCTATATAAATTGACTTATGAATAAAAATCTCATTCTCTAAGTGCTCAAACTGCAGATCAAGATAAAATTTTATTTTCTCAAGGTATTTCATATCAAATTCTCCTTTTAGATAACTTTTGAGACTTAAAATCTCTTCGAGTTGTTCCAATAATATTTAAATCATCAACATATACGGTAATTAACATAAATCATTTGTCGAATTTCTTTACAAAAATATATGAATAAATATGGTTATTTTTATAGCTTTTTTTTAAACAAATAGTTATTAACATTATTATACCACATCCATCTAGATTAATAATAAAGAGTACATATTGAAAAATAAAATATAAAAAGTATAACATAAATCAAATTTCTAAAAACTAAAATAATAAAACAAACCCTTCAATAATTCTTATAGAGATTTCTATAATTTAATTGAATATATCTTTTGAAAATATCCATTAAATGCTTTAGGCATTTTAAGTCCTTTTGAGACTTTCATATAAATATCATTTTCAACTAAACAAACAATCTGTGATCATATCTATTCAATACAAACATATGAAGTTTTTCATATATTTTACCAAGCTAACAAAATAACAAAATGTAATTGTATCCATTACAGGAGAATATGTCTCCTCATAGTCAATGTCAAGTTTTTACGAAAACACTTGTGTTACAATTCTTGCTTTGTGTCTTACAATCTTATCTTTCTTATTTTGTTTTTACACAAATACTCATTTGTATCTCACCGACTTAACATCTTTGGGTATTTTCACTATAGGTTCAAAAATTATTTATTTCTAAGAGAATATAATTTTGCCTTTATTGCTCTTTCCTTTTAGGCTAATCGTCTCTATGTCGACATTATTCAATAAATTTAGACTCACCTTATTTTCATCCAAAATTTGATTTGCAATATTATATGCAAAAATATTATCAATAAATATTTCTTTTTGGTCATTTTTCTCCCTATATTAATATAATTTATAAGTCTCTTGATTTTTCTCAAGCATTTAGACTTCTTCTAGAAGCCTATTATCATAAACATCTTGGATCATTTTATGAATATTTGCATTCTTTATATTTTCATCATGATTATTTGCTTTTTTCTTTTTGGAACTTTTTTTTTAGAACCAATTGATCTTCCACACTTCGGACATGCTTTATATTCATTTGCTATAACATCAATAGATTATTCTTCTATGACATCAATTCTAATAGAAGCATTCTCGGTAGGGACATGCATTTTAGTTACTCTTTTAAGATTTGAGGGGACATGCATTTTAGTTACTCTTTTAGGATCCGAGAATGCATCTAGCGAGTTGGTTTGTAGTATATTGTAAATGAATTATCTTCCGAACATTTAGTTCACATTATTTTATACAAGAATCAAGATGATATAAAGATAGATTACTCTATGTAATCTCTTTTTTTAAAATATTTTTAATCGCTTATTTTGTTTATTTTTTTCTCCTAATGTTGAAAAAACTATTTCATCAAAATAACAATTGGTATATTGAGTCGTAAAAATATCTCTTATTCATGGTTCAATATATTTAATTATCGAAGAGGATTCAAATCCAACATATATTCTCAATCTCCTTTAGATGCTCATTTTAATTCGTTATGGAGAAATACTATGAATATTTACTACACGACTAAATATTATTAAATGAGAAATATTTAGCTCATAGCAACAAAACAATTGAAGGGGAGAGAATTTCTACTAACTTATGAATTTGATACGAATAAGTGTTACTACATATAAAATTACATATCCTCAAACATAAACGAAAGTTTTGTTTTTAAATAATGGTTTAGCTATCAATTAGAGACTTTTGATAAATGACTTTGCTAAATCTTTCGAGTATGAACATAAGCAACGAGCTATGTAACCTTTATTTTAATAGCCAATCAACAATTATTTAATGCTTAAAAGATAAATTCACTAGTATTATCAAGACGAATCGTTTTAATGACATAATTTGAAAATTATGCTCGAATTGAATTATTTGAGCCAAAAACTTTGAAAATGCCGGGTTTCGAGTAGATATTAAACATACATATGATCATTATGTGAATGCATCTATCACAACTATAAAATATCTAAATGGTCCACAATGTGGATGAACTGGTTCATATATATCACTTTGAATACATCCTAAAATTATTAGAGATTCAATCTCAATTTTACTTAGTGATGGCTTGATAATCAATTTACATTGAGAACAAGCGGAATATGAAAATTCATTAAATTGAAGAATCTTTTGGCTCTTTAATAGATGTCTTTATGAATTTTCAATAATTTTTCGTATTATGAAATATCTAGGATAACCTAACCGGTTATGTCATATAATAAAAGTATTTAAATTATTAAACTTCTAGTTTACTATATTATTTATTTTAATCATTAAAATATTTGTAATAAAGACCAAAAGAGAAAGCGAAAAAATTGTTTTATACATATTTTCTATATGATATAATAATTATAATATATAAGTATTCAATATTTTTTCACATTTAGATGAATATCTTTGAAATTCAACAAATTTCTATGAGATTTTAGACGTAATAGTACATCATTTATAATAAAATTTATACTTTTAAATAATAACATATTTGCCTTTCTAGAGCTTTTAAATTCTATCACTTTAATTAATAAAATATTCGCCTTTGTGAAGCTTTTAACAATTATCTTTTTAAGTAATAATATATTCGCTCTTCTAGAGCCTCCGAAATTTATCTCTTCAAGTGATAATATATTCATCCTTCAGGGAACCTTCTATTAGGTCGATACAATCATATATAATATTAACACAAAATAAATAATTAAATAAATACAAAACAAATAAATAAATATATTCCTTTTGTCAATAAATAAATAAATAGTAAAATAAATTTGTAATTATCACTATGTGATAGAAATCATAAGAAATATAAAAAATTTTGTTTATAAATAGAAAAACTAACAAGTAATTGATTTCAATTGCTATTATTTTGATATATAAAAGTGATCTCTATATTTCTTTTTTAACGAGGCTTGATAAGGCTCGATGAGGTGTTTTGGTATACACAACCAATGTTCATCCATACCATATATATAACATTTATTTTCAACATACTACCTTGATTTATTTTATTTTCAATAGTTTGTCTACTTCGATGATGAGGTGTAATATTATGGTCATCATAATTATAATGATAATTATTCCAATCATGTCTATGGCTATGACCACATATTCGTCCATGCTAAAATTATTATAAGTTGTTACATTCACTTCGGGAAATGTAGTAGATCCGATCGGATGAGATTTATTATTTATTATCAATAGCTCATCATTTTATTTAGTCACAAGTAAGAACGAAATCGATTCAAAATATTTCTTAAAATATTTTTCTCAATATTGCTATTGCATGAGCTATTCGAGATGTGAAAAGTAGAGAATATTTACTTAGCATTAAGTACTAATGATCAATAATTCTTGCCCGAAATGTCAAGGGCCACAAAATCAAATTCATTGAGGTTTGATATGATAAAAATTTTATAATACAAAGTGTAATAATAGTAATATTAGAAAATAGGAACAAAGCATAATAATAAAATTTAAACTTTTCAAGCAATATATATTAGATCATCGGATTACGTATATTAAACCATTTAAGTTTTTCAAATTTATATTCTATATATCATTAGAATTAAAGTACACGATAAACTAGATGCGGACTTCTTAATTATTTAAATAATTTAGATATTTTAGTAGAGCACTCGTATAGAGAAATAATCCAATGACTCGAAACAAATAATTGAGTTTTTTTTTGTAGATATATACCTTTTTGGTCTATTATATCGATTGTTTAGAGTTTCGTGCTAATAACGTGTTATAAAAAAAAGATAATAACAATAGAATTGGAGAGATAAGCGATGAAAATATGATTTCACTATTAAAAAAAAAATACAAGAGATAACAACTTAAAACAATTCTCTTAATCTCTACAAAATATTTACACACAAACTAATGAACAATTAAGTATATTTATACACTTCAAGATTAGGAAGAGAATTTGAAAGGATTATGAACTATTAAAAGTATCTAAATTATTGAATTAATTGCATCACTTTTTTAATTTCTCATGTTGAATTGAGAATTGAATCATATTAAAAATTATGAGTAATGGTGATATAAAAAACACATAAACATTTATATGAACATTCATTATTTTATAACAAAATTATAATTTTTGCAACCTATATTCTTTTTTCTTTTTACTGATAAATTTATAAATACTTCATTGAAATTATTTAAAATTCAATTTTAATTATGTTTTTTTTTTAATTATGCCGATAATCTTATTTTTCAGAGCACAGGGTTTAAACCGGGAACGGAACCACACCGACTTAAGACTAAACCGGCTTTCAATTCGAGCGTAAAATTTACCCTTACATCAATTCCAAAATAACAGCAAACCCACCTACTTAAGCTCCAAATGAAAAGAATATCGTCTTTGCTCTTCATCCTTCACACACACTGAAACCCTAGCTATCGACATCGCCGCGTGCTCTCTCTCTCTAGCAAACAGCGTCGCCTGTATGCCTTCTTCCTTTATTCTCTGTCAATCATCAGTTTCTGCGATCTTCCGTTTTTGATACCGTGATTTTACTCTCAATCGAATCGACTCTACGTTTATTCGTTTTTTTTTTTACTAGAATTTTTAATTGACATTTTCATGCATTTTATCGGTTTATTTAGTAGAAAAGAGGTTTTCGATTCGTTTGAGAAGGAATCAGTTGAAGCAGAGCGGAATCAAGGAAGAGTCAAGATGGCGCGAAAAGGTTTGATGGAACAAGATTTAAGTAAATTGGATGTCACGAAGTTGCATCCACTTTCTCCCGAAGTTATATCGCGGCAGGCTACTATTAATATAGGTAATTTTTTGGAGTTCTGGAATTTCCTTTTAGTAGGGTAGTTGTTGATTGTGTTGGTCGAAAATGATAATTTGGTACCTCATTTGTTTCAGGTACTATTGGTCATGTGGCACATGGGAAGTCTACTGTTGTGAAAGCAATTTCTGGTGTTCAGGTGATTTAGTTGGTTTTGCCTTGAATTTTTTGTGTTTCGTATCAGGAGTTTCTTATGCTTATATTATGTGTTGTTATTATTGGGAGTGGAAAATAAAGTAGGTTATAGATTTTTGCAATAGGGATAGATATTGGAGCCAGTGAATCTTGTTTGGAGCTTAGTGGTAAACTATTTTTCAGTGGCCTCAATTCCTTTTTCTTTCTTTCCTTCTTTTTTTTTTTTCTCTCTCCATACATGATGGGAGGCCCGTCAAATAAGGCAGTCTGCCCCCTCCTGCTCCAATCCCCGTAATTGATAGTGTAAAAGGAATTCGTAATCAGTTCCTTTGATATAATGCAAAATGACCTTACCACTTAAGCCAGCGAGGATTCATATGCCACGAATATAGAATACTGCTACTAACTATATTGAATTATTGCTGGACTAGGTGGGTTTAGAAATTTGATCCTAGTTCTGATTAAGGGAGTTTTACCTTCACCGTGACAAGTAATTCCTCCACAGTATGTTATATTATAACATGTGGCTAAGATAGTTGTTTTCGTTTTTATCATGGTGCTGCGGAGGAGTTGTCATATTTGTGCAAGTTTTTTCCAAATTTTGGTCCATGGTTGTGATTACGGAAACTTGTATTTTGACCTATTCATGCATAATAATCAGTCATAACATATTCATTTGTTATGCTTATGAATTGCAGCAGTTTGACGGGTGCTAGTTTGGTTGTTTGCTAAACATGTGCAGACAGTTCGTTTTAAAAATGAGTTGGAGCGTAATATTACAATAAAGCTTGGATATGCAAATGCAAAGATATACAAGTGCGAAGATGAGCGGTGCCCTCGGCCTAAGTGCTACAAGTGAGTAAATGCATAGGTGAAGCTTTACTATTTAGGTTGAATGCTGGCTTTTCGCTTTTAAATTTGATAATGTTCTCGTAGGGCTTATGGAAGTGGAAAGGAAGATAATCCTATGTGTGATGTAGAAGGGTTCCAAAACTGCAGGATGAATTTGCTGAGACATGTCTCTTTTGTTGATTGCCCGGTAAGGGGTCCAGGTGCTGTATTTAATTATGGTTTCTCAATGTGTACTTTTCGTATTTATATTGTCACAGTAAAGATGCGTAGTAAGTGGTTGAACCAGGTCTCTATTTAATTATGGTTTATGCACTGTATGTACTTTTCATACCTTGATTTTCATGCATTGAGGTTCAGGCCCGAAGGTACTTTCCTCCAATTTTCTCACATGTTAAATGAATTCTGGTGTTGGGAGATTGTTTCCAGTTCCTATTGTGCTGCTTTGATATTAGCAAGAAAAAGTTAGGTAGTCATATGGTCTACTTAATTGACATTGCTGAATAAACATATTAGCAACAGATTATTAGTGTACTTCTATGCTTTTGTGTGACTAGACTCATCCACATCACAAGTTTTTCTACTCTCATGTAGGGTCATGATATTCTCATGGCTACAATGCTTAATGGAGCAGCAATTATGGATGGAGCATTGCTGCTTATAGCTGCAAACGAGAGCTGTCCCCAACCACAGACTTCTGAACACCTTGCTGCTGTTGAAATCATGCGTCTCCAACATATTATAATTCTTCAAAATAAAGTGGATCTTATTCAGGAAAACGCAGCCATCAACCAGCATGAGGCTATTCAGAAATTTATTCAGGTTTGACTATGTTATTTTTATGCATCCCGTTAGTTAAGTGTATATGCATTCTATGTTCTTTTTCCTGATGATGCTCTTTTTCTCTGAAAAGAAAATGAGAGACCCACACTCTGCTGATTCTTGTTAACATTTTCTTTTCAGGGAACTGTTGCTGATGGTGCACCAGTGGTGCCAATTTCTGCTCAGCTAAAATATAACATAGATGTTGTGTGTGAGTATATTGTTAAAAAGATCCCAATTCCGGAGAGGAACTTCATCTCACCACCTAATATGATCGTTATTCGATCTTTTGATGTCAACAAACCTGGATACGAGGTTGATGAGATAAGAGGTGGTGTGGCTGGTGGAAGCATCCTCAGGGTATGTTTTTAACATGTGTTTGATTAGTATTGTTATGCAATATTTTTCTGGCTTGTGTCTATGCTTGGTGCATGATCTTGGTTAGTTTCTGCGGAGTTTCCATGCATTTTTTCTCATTCTATTCAGTGCTGGCCCATTTTCCACGATAGGGTAATCATAGCCAGTGGAAATGGAGACATGCTTGATTAAGGAACAATTCTGACTGCATGCTAAGGTATATGGAGTCTGAGTGTTTCTTATTGGAGGTCTTGTGGGCTGACAATGAGAACTGACTATAGGCGTTGGAACTCGCGATCTCTTGATTTAGCTTATTTTAGTTTGCTGCTTCCATGAAGATGCTTTGGTCCAGAGCGATAAATTCATCAATTAGTCCTGCTGAGAATCTATGATGAACAAGTATCGTTATTTTGGTCTATCTTGTCCATGCAGGGTGTTTTGAAGGTCAATCAATTTATTGAGGTCCGTCCAGGGATCATTGTTAAAGATGAGGCTGGGAATATGAAGTGCACCCCAATATATACTAGAATAGTGTCATTATATGCTGAGCAGAATGAGCTACAATTTGCTGTGCCTGGAGGTCTCATTGGTGTTGGCACAACCATGGACCCCACTTTGACACGTGCTGATAGGTTGGTGGGTCAGGTTCTTGGTGATGTTGGATCCCTCCCTGAAGTTTTTGGTGAGCTTGAGGTAAGGACCTGAATCAACAATAATTTTTGTAGTTTTATACTTACATTAAATTCTTTTTGCGTTGGAACTTTTTTCCAAGTTCAAATCATCAATGAGCAAGTCCTGTATACAGTTATCTATAAGTATGTCTTTTGCACCATATGCGAAAGGTTTTCCCTGTTGGGTTGAATTTGGTGCAGCTGACTGGAGTTACACTTTTGGGGTAGGCAGGAAATAGTAAACGTCCTGTTTGCTTTCCAATGTGCATGTGATGGTGCCTTCTGTATGTGGCTTATAAACTATCTTGAAGTAATGCTCCTATGGAAGTTGCCTTTTCATTGGTTTCAATAAGGGCCCTTGTCTCTATTCTTTTTCATTTGATCTTATTAGTTTTCTTTTGTAATTTGTGCTATTTTACCTCACTCTCCCATGTATTGTGGAAATTATTCATTTGAAAAATTGGGGCTCGAAGATGTATGGGTGCTTCATAATTTGATGCAGGATCCTTGTGCCCCTCTGATGCCAATGCTGTACCTTTTTTTTTTTTTTTTTTGTGTGCAGGTGAATTTCTTCCTTTTGAGACGGCTTATTGGTGTCAGGACAAAGGGCTCAGAGAAGCAGGGAAAGGTCTCGAAGCTGACCAAGGGAGAGATTCTTATGTTGAACATCGGGTCCATGTCATCTGGGGCTCGAGTTCTTGCTGTGAAGAACGATTTGGCAAAGCTACAACTTACATCTCCAGTCTGCACCAGCAAGGGTGAGAAGATAGCATTGAGTCGCCGAGTGGAGAAGCACTGGCGTCTCATTGGGTGGGGTATGATTCAAGCTGGAACCACCATCGATGTTCCACCCTGCCCCCTCTAGTGTTTTTGAATAGTTAGACAGCTAGAGAAAAGCAGTAAAACAGCATAAGAAAGGTTTATCCAATATGTGGGAAGGTAGGCAATTGCTTGGATCTATTTTTTTCCAGTGGAGAAGAAAGCATATTGTGATAAATGGCTATTGTCATTGTCTGTGTTTTGTTTTTTCTTTAATATTCCAATTTTTTACTCTGAGTCATTTTGAATTATATTGTTCGGGCGGGTTCTTGAGGAGCGAAGAAGAAAAAAAAATGGTTTTTTCGGGAATTTATTGTGTTTTGCCCCCTTTTTATGGGTTTATTGGAGGATGGTAGGATGGCTTCTGGCACCATTGGGTGCTTTGGCATGGCTAAGGTCATTTGGCCATGAAAAATTTATCAAATTTGAGTTTTTATGTCAAAATGACATTCAACAAAATCAGGAAGAGTGGTGACATACTTGACTTGGGATTGATCGTGTAGATAAGCACTTGATGTAAAGATGAATTGTTCATAGTCAGTTTTAACTGTTCTTGTGACAATTCAAAAAAGGAAACTGTTCTGTGTGATTTTTTCTTTTGACACGTGAATTTGTTCGCTAGGAGTTTTAATGGTATAACGATGAATCTCATCTCAATGGGATGGGATTTAATTCGGAATCTTAAATTGTAATCGAAACTCAAATCAGTTGGGGAGATGTGACGAGGCATGCGTGAGCCTTCCTAATAATAATAATAAAAAGCTGAAAAAAAAAAAAAAAAAAGAGGCGGGGAAGTTCCGTTAAGGTTGAAACTAAATCCATATACTAAAGGGCCTCCAAGGCGGACCTAAACTTGAGTAGTTTACCGTTCGTTGTTCATAGTTGTTTTAAGATGAAGATGATGGTGCATGCCGTGGATTTCACTGGAGCTTCTATTTTCTATCTGTCCATTGTACGGCAACTAGGCCCGTTGATAGAATGATTATACATTCGAAGAGATCTCAGGCGTTCCTCAAGACCCCCAGATAAAGGCAAAGAAGAATCAAATGCACGAGTTTTTATGGGACCCATTTTACTTTACTTTGTGGTAGCATCTGTTTGCAACTCTGTTGACAACTAAAAATTTGCTTAGTTGCCGTTGTAAGTTCACGCGACTGTTTTACCCCTGATGCTTCTGTTAACTATGGGACGGTCCAAGTGGTTAAAGCTTCGTCAATCAGGATGTTATCGTCATTCCAGGTGTATAACAATAATGGTTGTCGTCAGCTGAGTCCAAATGAGTCAAATTCTGACCGAAATAGGGCAATCGGTGGGGTGGCATGTGGAGCCCACAAGGGGTGGGCATCCCCGTTATCCCTCCCTAGACCCTACGCCCCTAATGTAGGAGAAGAACTTGTGGTAGTATTAGACACAGGAACGTTACAAGTGCAATCTTAGGACGATGAACTGGTTTTTTTATCATTTAATGTTAGAGGTTATTGAGAAATTACGTAGTAAAAGAATTTTTCATGAATTATTTGTCTACCATACGGCCTATATTGTTGCATGAAAGCTCTTACCTTCTCGATTTATTTCATTTTAATTTCAGCATACAATGTCAGTTTCAGTAAAAAAGACATAGTCATCATTTCGTTGATGGTATTAATAAAGTTAGGACACCTTTTATTATTATTGTTTTCCCCTATGGAAAATCCATTATAAGCACCTTTCTTTTTATTGAATTGTGTCCATCTTTAAAGAATATGGATCTGAGCTTTTATTTTTCCTATTCTCCATATTAAGTATCTGTCGCCGAGAAATGGACGAGGGGGATGTTTTTAGCCAGATATATATATATATATATCATTCTCCTTTATGGACATGGACATGTCCCAATCCAACCTAAGCTAAAGCTTAAAATACGATGAGTTCGGTTTGATAATCTAAGCTAGATATTCATTAAAAAAAGGAATGTATATCGTCTCTCAATTCTATCAATGTCATGAATGTTTTATTGTGCCACCAAATCCTAAAGAATGTGCCTGCAAACGGGTCAAAATTCAAAGAGTTTGTTTTATGATTTATAAAACAACGATCAATCAACTAAATAGAACTAAATAGAATGAATACAAATTACAAGAAGTGTGAAAGGAAGATTAAGTAGGTTTGTCAATAAGCAACTCGAGTGACAAAAAGACGAATGAGTCAAAATTTAAATAAATAAAGCTTTATATGTTATCTAGTGTGCGAGTGAGGAATCTTTAAGAAAGAGTTCAAATATTTTGCTAAAAAAAAAGTTTTTTCCTTTATAATTGTTGTGAGGTTAGTATTTATTGTAAAAAAATTATGTTCTTTGATTATGAGAATCTTGTCACGTTATTCAAGTTTAAATAGTCGGATTTGAATCTAAGAGATTGAATTTTTAGGATAAATTACTTCAATTTGTCGGCAAAAGCTAATGAAATAACAATTTGAGCTTTTTTAACGAGACTCTATCTCGATCTCATCAAGTCAATATCCCTAATGCATCATAATTGATAAGGTATAGACACTAACCTTGTCAAATAGTTATGTATGTACTCGCAAGATCCATGACCTTATGTTGGACGATGTTCATTACTGGTGTAATTCATATGTTGTGTAGCTTAAATCCATGTCAAATTTTTTTTTTTAAAAAAAAACATGAATTAGCACGTAATAAAATTAGCTAAATTACTTGATTATTTTTGGGAAAAAAAGTGAGCATACACATTAATCATCTACAAAGATAAACTTACTAGTAAGATTGTTCATGTAATTATATATAACGAGATAGAGAATTTTTTTTAAAAAAAATAACCTAACAATAATTATAGTAAACTTGTCGTGAGTCTCTCATTGCTTACTAAATAAATAATAAACGAGTGTGATATGTTAGCCATATGCCTTCTAACGCATAGAAATAAATAGCAAAAGTTTGCGAGTTCGATAAGAGCTCTCCTAAAATGGGTATTTGGAATAGATTTTGGTCTCAAAAATGACTTTTGATGGATTCTATTTAACCATTAAGTTGTGGATCTCCGAATCACCTTTTCAAATTATTAAGGTTTGCATCAAATAGACAAAAACATCAAAAGCTTTGACTTATTAATTGACGAGTGTGTGTATCCTTTTTTTTTTTTTAAGTATCGACTAGCGTCTATCATAGATAGTAGTGTTGATTAGTCTTTAGCATCAAATTTTTTTTTATGTATGCTAAATGAGCCATCGAGCCACTATATATATAGATAGATAGATAGATATAATTTTTCAAAAGCAATTAGTCAAGTGCATGGGCTTGTTGAAGCATGTTGTGGTTATAATTTCTTGTGGTAATTAGATTTACTCAAAAAATTAGATAAGTATAATTGGACAAATTGTTTGACGAGCAAATGTGTCTTGTCACTTGTTAGGTTGTTAAAAAAAATAGCTCGGTATATTGACTTTTTTTTTTTTTTCGGATCGATTAAGATTTGATAGGAAGGCAATCTCTAAGTGAAGAGAGACATTAATAGAGAACTCATTGTTAGCAACGGTAATTATCTCATCGGATAGGATTCTTAAGAGTTATACATATGTAGATTAATTTAAGAGTTATATCTTGAATATCATTATTTTGAGCAAATACTTAGATATTTATCTTAATATAAACAAAACAATATGAAAGGCCAATATTTCTTAAGCATTCCTTAGCTTCTTCTTAAATTTTTGATCCATCAATTATTGAAGAATTTGAAATTTTCTTAAGAGCTCAACGAGAAAATGCCGATATCGAATTTTCCTCTATTATAATAAGAATAATTTTTATGCTTACGATCCGGCTAATGTTTGGCTAGATAAATACGAAGTTGTCATCAAACGGAAAAATTAAGCATAAAAAGCTCATGGCCTAGCCAGCAGCATAACTAAACTAGATAGATATGGTATCGCCATTAAAAAAAAAAAACTAAGCCTAAAAAACTCATAGCTCGGCCAATTTGCAATTTGGCCAAATGAACATGGCGTTTTTGTAAAAAAAAAAAACTCGGAATGAAAAGCTTTCAATCTAGCTAGTGCACATTTTAGCCGGATGGGCACTTGCCTTATTGCCTATTACATATAAATAATGGTTGTTGCGAGTTGCTTCTTTGGTTTTCTCATCAAAATTCAAAAGATTGATGAAATTAAAAAAATCTAGAGTCTTTAATAAAGACTATTTAATGGAGGCATCGTTATTATCTATCTATTTCATATAAGGTATAGTGTGGTTAGGAGTGATTGGTAGATTTTCATGTCAAACTCCTTTTCTCTTAGCCGAGTTGGGTCATGAAAAATGGCCATTTGGTCATTATGGAAATTTTGATTTTGTGATAGAGGATTTTCATGCGGATCATCTTTATTGCCAATGACAAACTCCTTTTTGTTCGGTTTGTCATAAAATAAAAACATCAAATGACGATAGTTTTATGTCGAATGCCCCGTGTATTTATGGTATTGACAATATGTGATATTTATGAGTTTTTTTGTCTACATAAAGATAACAATTGGATTAACTATTCAATAGTCTAATAGAGCATAGTTAATGGCTATGATGAAAGAAAAAAATGGTGGTGGATTCATTTTCTATAATGATGGTTTAATAGTCACTCCTCTTATTTTTCTAATATGTTGATCATATGGTTAGATGACGTTCACTAAAAACTCCTTTTAGTACCACTAACAATAGAAGTAAAGTCATTTATTTAAAAAGGGATGATGAAGTTGCTAGTTTGGCTAGCATTTCTCGCTACGATAGAAAAAATGGTTAACTCTAAATTCCTAAGATGTATTTTGTACTCTCTATACATACCTTGGATATATAGTTTGACAACTTTCTTCTTATTAAAACCCTTAGGGATGTCTAAAGTATGGTCTCTAAATTGTTTAATGTATTCAAACAAACCCTCCATAGAACTTTGGCATTCTTTCTTAAGTCATAAGTGGTCAAGATCTTGTTAGTGAGAAAAATTTATCAATAAATACCTTACATATAGTTATCAATGTCCGGATAAAGTTATGAGGCAAGTTTACATACTATATGTGTGCTTTATTAGTCAAGGACTTGGAAAAAATTTTTAGTTTCAAATCATCATCTAAACCTTAGACACCTAGGGTCTCCATAAATTTCATGAGATGCTCATTAATGTCTCCTTATTTTTTGTTAAAAAACTTAAACTTTAGGGCTCACATGGTTATTCGGATAAGGCCTCATGTCTGTGTGGGTTGGATAAGAAAGTTTTGAGTTCAAACTCCCTAGTAGAATTTGCCAACTTTCATTCAAATAACTTCTTTAAGTCTTTTTTAGTAATATAGCAATGCTCGGTCACTAGAAACAATAATATGATTTAGTGGTTTATGATTATGCACAACCGAATAATGAGTCTTTGATGGGAGACTATCTTTCCTATCATTTAGTTGAACATATGATGGTAGATCATTTTCTACATTAATAATTGATGGCATCATAGTTTGAGGGATGATAGTCTTGGGTAGTTTACATGCGAAAAGTAGGTACGTGATGTTGAGGGCTTGAGAAAATGTAGTATTGTTGTCTTGAAGGACTTTATAAAATTATTGTTGTTCTTGTTATAGTCTTAGTTGAGTATCCTAAAAAAACTTTAAGACTTCGATCATGACTTGAAGGCATGGTTATGTAACAACTCGTTACAAGGGCCCAAGTAGTGGGTCATGAAAAATGGCCTCCTACGAGTGATGGTAAGCTTCTATTACCAATTTGAGATTTTGAGAATTGTTGCCATTAACGTTTAGCAAGTTGGTACTGCCATCATTACTTGTTTGGATTATGTAGGATACTGTAATTATTATGGGCAATTGAATTTGTTGCATGATTAGTTTTCTTTTTGGTGGTCTTGGACAAGATCATTGTTCTTTCACGATAATTAACTCTCTAGTGGAGTCGTCAAAATGTGCGGGGTAAATTCTTGAGAATTAATCAAACAATTGGTCAAAATACAAAACTTTAGTGTTGTGATTTATAGAAATAACAACCAACCAACCAAGTAGAATAGATGTATATATAATGAGAAGAGCGAAAGAGGGAACAAAGAATGCTAACAAGAAGCAAGTTGATTGGCATGTAGGCAAGTGAGTCAATGTTCATATGCATGAGGTTTATATGTTGTCCGATGTGTGAGTGAGAGAGATTTGAAAGAGAATTTATAAAGAGTTCAAATATTTTGCTAAGGAAAAAAGAAAAGTTCCCTTCCTCGTAATTATTGTGAGTTGATATTTATAGTGAATAGAGGATAACTCTTAATTGTAAGAATCGTATCACGTCATTTAAGTTTGGACGGTTGGATTTGAAATAAAACTACGCTCTTTTGGGATAAATTATTTTAGCTTTGTAACAAAAGATAAATGAAGTAACAATTGAACTTTCTTTTAGCACATTCTCGCTCAAAGCCTACGTAGCTAATATTCTTAATATATCTCAATTGACAACATATGAACATTGATTCTGTTAAAATATTTGTATCTATTATTGCATGTTCCAAGGCCTTGCGCTAGGCTAAATCCATATTCAATCAATTCTTTATATTGTGTAATTTGAACCTATATGTAAAAAAAAAAAAAAAAAACATATAAAAAAATTACTTAAATTATTTAATTAATATTTTTTAAAAAATTGGAGCTTATGTAACGATGAACTCTTTGACGATCTCTTATCAGATGCGAAAAAGAAAACTCTTGACATAGAAAAGGTAGAGTCGAAACTCGGAAGGCTAGACAGTACATTGATAATTTGACATCGTAGAGTCGCTAATAAACCAAGGTCTTCCTAAGTATGATTTTTCTAACGAGACTAATTGAAGTTATATGATTATTGATTGATGGTATGAGACCATTTTTATTGGTTAGTATAACTTCTCTCTTTATTTATTATTTTTTTAAAGGACTGGAGTTAGGACTAAAAATTTTACTTCTCATGCTTGCCTGCCTAGCAGAGTTTAACATTCAAGTTAGGAAAAGGCTTTTTTATTTATTATTTGAGTTTCTTCTAGTTCTTGAAAGAAAGGAAAAGATTTAATAATTAAAAAAGAAGAAGAAAGGAAATGAAAACGAGCGTCGGTTGGCACGTATGGAAGGTCTCCATCACACGTGCAAATCCACTTCACTCTGATTGGCTGGCCTAAATGCGCCTCTTAATTCCAAGCATCTATTCCGCTTCGCTAAACACACATCACTTCCTCTCTTTCTCTCTCTACAAAGCAACAAAGGAAAAAAAAAAAAAAAAAATCTCTTTCTCTTACTCTGCAAGACAATCACACAAATCTCCTGGAGAGAGAAAGAGAGGAGAAAGAGGTTTTATATATTTTTGTTTTGTTTTGTTTGCTAATAATCTCACTTTACAGCTCATAGTGTACATTCTTCTTCTTCTTCTTATTCACCAGATCAAATCTAAGGTGCATGTGTTTGTGTTTTTGCTACTTCAATTTTGTCAAAGTTCACAAAATATCTAGTGGGTTCTTGTGTTTTGTTTTTTTTTGTTTTTCCTTTTTCCTTCCATTTCAATTTAGGGCTCTTAGCGAAATTTTCATTTTTTTTTTTAGTGCTTTTCAGCTATGTAAAACGGTAAATTATCAAACTTTTTTTTGGCCAAAGTTTATCACTAAGATTGGTGCATAACAATGTGTTATTCTTAAGATCCTTCTCTTGTTGAAATGGAATTGCTTTCAGGTTGTTGCAGCTGAGGTTGGATGAAATTCAATAAAGGAGCCAACTTTAGTTATATATTGGCCACTTCAGCCTAAACTTTCATGTCTGGTAAAGTTTGCAATTTTGAGTTCCGCTTTTTTTTTTTTTTTTTTTTTTTTGCAATTTCTTGGGAATTTTCTTGGTTATTACTTAACTTGCATTTGATGAAGTTCTACATTTCACTGATCTTTTACTGCCCAGAAAAGAAATGAAGTTTATTTCTTTATAATTTTGTAGCTCAAATTCCAGTAGTGCTAGCAAAGAGAGGAGAGAGAGAGACAGGGAGATGAATTGGAGTTGTGGAAACTCTATCAACGAACTGGAAATTAATTCTTCTTAAATGTTGCATCTGTGTTTCTAGCACATTTTATGCATGCTACAGATGTTTGTAGTGGAGACTAATGAATTTTGGTTGAAATTTGAAAATTTTATTCTCAATGCAGTTTTGTTCCATTTGTTGAGGCATGATTTCTTTATTGGAGTTTTAACTGTACTCTCTCTTTTTTGCAGGCAATCTTTTCCTGTCTCTGTGGCTGCTAGATGACATAATCAATCATCTAACCATATGTGACAAGCAAAGTATTCTGGAGCTTGGTCTATCAGATGATTTATAGCTGCTATATTATGCTCGACCAGTTCTGTCATGGCCATCTATCCAATGAGATGTCAAAGGCCTTGGCTTCTGTACTTTCTACTGCTATTTATTCTCATAAACAAAAGTGGAGCTATCACTCCTGATGGTACGGTGGTTTTTTGAGCTTTTGCATACATTCTATTTCAACTGAATCATAAACGATGTCAAAGCAGTGAAATGGCTAGTAAGAAATCTATGGCCCAGTCCATTTCCTTTGAAGCAAATACTTGGTTTTTGTATGCTATTTTTAGCCGCACCAAAACTTGTATGCCTGACATGTCAAATTTATTGGGAGATTTGATTTGTCCAATCTCACATGGCAATTTCATTAATCTGAACACAAACCTGGCATTATTTTGCTTTCAATTCAAAACTTGTTTTATGAAATGTGAAATTTAGCATGATTAGAGATATAACTATAAGGGATGTTGGATGATTGTAAGCACCCTACCAGATGGGCCACCAAGTTCTTCTATGGTTGGGATGGAGCAGATGTTTCTTTCCAACATCAAATCATGAGTAGCCCATAATTTTTTCAAGAAACACAAACTTCCTTTCATTCTAGAATCATTTTGCCTTGGTTATGTCTGTTAGTGTCTATATGAGTATGCAAGCTCAAGTGCACTTGTGATATATTGGAATTTTGAAATTCATTTTCATGTTTTTGTAGGTGAAGCACTTTTGACCTTCAGAAATGCAATTGTCAGCTCAGATGGTATTCTTCCTTTGTGGAGGCCAGAGGATGCTGAACCATGTAATTGGAGAGGCGTGACATGTGATCTGAAAACCAAGAGAGTAATATATTTGTGAGTTCACAAATGATATCCAAATTTCAGGCTCATATTTTATCTTTCCCTCCTTAATCTGTTTGCTCCCTGTACATATGCGCGGAGCCGTGGACTTTGAATAGCTTACATGTTTTTTATCTTGATTTTGATTTGGACATCTCTCTCTCTCTCTCTCTCTCTCTCTCCCTCCCTCCCTCCCTCCCTCTCTAAATATATGTGTGTGTGTGTGTGTGTGTATGCATATATTTCACTCAAATTGTATCTGTTAGTTCACAATGCAATATGAGGTGGCATGCAGCATGTTGTTGATTGTTTAATCATTATCTTCCAGGAGTCTGAAGAACCATAAATTAAGTGGTCCTATATCACCCGACCTTGGGAAGTTGGAGCACTTGAGAATTTTGTATGTGTTTTCTGGACTTTCTCATTTTTATTGAAATTGTTAGTTGTTCTCTGTATTACAGGCATGCTGTTCTTTTTATATGTTTTAATATGAATGTGGTGTTGCAGAGCTCTACACAACAACAACTTCTATGGAACAATTCCTTCAGAGTTGGGAAATTGCACAGAGTTGCAGGGAATGTAAGCACCTCTAAATCTATTACAAAAAATTTCTCATCAATATTGTGCTATATTTTTATCCTATTGAATCATACTGTTGCCACTCTACTGGTTAAATGGAAACTTCACTGATTTATATTTTTTGTTTGTATCATTTAGAATAAAATTCTGGTGTAATTTACTAAAGATGGATAGCATAGATACAATGATAATATGCTAAAGAGGGATAGCATAGATACTGTGATTTTTTACTGTATGAAATTTTCTCTCCCATGGAAATTATTTTGATTTATTTTATTTGCTTTTGAATTCTGTGATGATGATTGTAAATTACTCGTCGGAATGGAGTAAAGCATTCTCAGTTTAGTTAGCGGCTTGTGAATTAAATTTTAATTGTCATCAACTTTGTATTTTGCTAGTGAATAAAAATTATAAAAACCTACAAGATAAATGTCCAATGGCTCAGACAAGTGAGGTTAGCTGCGACCTTTGATTTTTTTTGTTTTGCTTTCTTAACCCTTGCCACATGTTACAAGAGCCACTTCACAATCTAGGCAATTATTTAGCTTCTCTTTGAAGTTTGGAATTATAAACACTGGATAGATCATGTCTGCATTTTGCCTTTCATTTGAGTTTACAATTCAGGGCATCTCAACAGTGAAGGATTTTTTTTTTTAACATCGCTAACCACTTGTTTTCTATATAGCTTATGTAGCTCAGTTATTGATCTCTTTTAACATTGCTAACTATTTGCCTTGGTGCCTATTTTTGTTGTTCTACTTCTTTTTCTCTCGCTACAAAAGGCACGCATGGTAGAAATTATGGCTTGTGCGATATCTACAGCATTTGCTCCTTGTTTCTAATAATTCGTGAATATTGTTATTCAACTTAATTCAAATTAGGTTTATAGTTGCCACCTTAGAATCTATTTTCAATGTTTGTATCGGTATCTTATCCACACTCATGTCATAACTGGACTGGAAGTGAATTTTTGTCTTTTATCTACAGATTCTTGCAGGGCAACTACTTAAGTGGACCAATTCCAAGCGAACTAGGAAACCTAACTGCACTTCAAAATCTGTGAGTTGTTTTCCTCAGGATAATTTCAGTGGTATACATGTTATTTTGTTATGAACTAAGACAAATGTGGTTGCACAATCATTTTCTATGAGCCCTGAAACTCTTTTTGTCATATATGTATGCCTGTCAAAGGTTATGTATAGTGTCCTCTGGAATTGAGATTTTATTTACGATCTAGTGACACTGCAGCATGTTGTGATAACTTACCATAAGATTCATAGGTTATCAAGAGCAGAATAAATTTGAAATCAGGCATGAGTTTTTTTTTTCCCTTGCTTTCTGGTTGACATGTATGAAAGAGCAGGTTATCATGAATCACAATAGTGCTGCTTTGGAAAAGGACCTAAGATGGGTTGATAGGGCGGACTTTCCATTACTGCAAGCCAGATAAACTCTCCTGGGAATCAGAATTCATGGACCAGCGGTGTTTATGGCCATTTGTAGTCTATATTCCTGCCCAGTACCACTTGAGCCTTAGTTTTACCCCAATTTAAATTTAGTGATAAATTATGAACCTTTTTCCAAAATCACGTAAGATATTGTTCACTTGGCCTTGTGCAAGTTTCTTGAGGGAAATTATTGGTTACTGTACGTCTTTAATGTGTGAACCTCTTCCTACTGGAAGTTAGATGAGAATTCAAGATCCATGCTAAACGCCAACTTGCTTTTGTTTGTCTTTTCAGAAATAAAAGAATATATGTCACACCTTTGTTTTGTTGGGCGGCGGCGTTGGGGGGGGGGGGGGGGGCGGAGTCAATGAAAGTAATGACAAAACAAAACACTGAAGTCTTCCCTTAATTTTGGGATGTAGTATATCATGAAAGATCTTTGAAGTATATTGATAGGAATTTTTATGATCACTAATGTGCTATAAATGACAAATAATGGTTTCAGATGCAATCATCATGCTAGACAGATGGTAATAATTAGTTATTTTGTCAATTAATTCTACAGGGATATCTCAAGCAATTCTCTGAGCGGGTCAATCCCTTTATCACTTGGGAGGTTAAATAAACTCATCACCTTGTAAGTAGCCTCATTTGCTTCGAATTGAGTTAGTTTTTAAGAATGATGTCACAATGATTCACCAGTTAAAATTGGTACATTTGAATCTGGTATTTATTCTCCTCACAATGTTAAATTTTTTTGAAGCAATGTGTCAAACAATTTTCTGGTTGGGCCGATACCATCTGATGGTGTGCTCATCAACTTCTCAGATAACTCGTAAGTCCAAGTTTTGCTTATGTGTCATATTTAATTGATTTTGCATCAACCAGTGTGATCTAGTAACTTAGATGTGCCTTTATGAGTGTTAGCTATCTAAAGTCAAGTTCTGCTATTTTACTAGTTTACAGCACAGTAGCCAAAGAAGATTCTAAACCAATAAACTGAAACATTATATCTCGTAGGTTTACTGGAAATCGTGATTTGTGTGGAAAGCAGATCAATAGAACTTGCAAAGATAACAGTGGAGGGCCTGGCACTGATGGGAAGCCTTCTTCAGGTAAATTGGCAGTCTAGCACACATATAATATTGATTCTCTGATATTTCGTCTTACCAGGTATAATGTCTTCCATGCTGGATGTAATTCAAAATCGACGTTTATGATGATGAAAGATTTAATACTTATATGTCCACAGTATAACTCATCCTGAAAACTCCATTCTTTTGACTAGAATCTTACTCCTGGGAGTTGTTGAGGTCACTATGGAATTTGGAAATGGAATTGAATTGTTAAGGGAGAACCTATGATTTTTAAACAACATTGTGATCATTTCTTGATCTCATGCTTTATGGTTGTAGCTTAATAATTATTATTTCTCTGCTTGCAGGCCAAAATCAAGGGGAAAGAAAAAATACTCTGGTGGATTGCTCATCAGCACTTCAGCAACCATTGGTGCGCTACTTTTGGTCGCACTTATGTGTTTTTGGGGTTGCTTCCTATATAAGAAGTTTGGTAAAAATGAGAGTAACGGTATTGCAATGGATGTTAGTGGAGGTATTGTTCTTAACTATCACTTGAACTTTTTTCCCAAACCATTTTTTAATATAAATGTCTCGTGAGTTCTTAAACTCCAGCGCCACAAGTTGTTTTTCTTGTTGCTCCAGGTGCATCAATTGTAATGTTTCATGGGGACCTGCCCTACTCTTCAAAAGACATCATAAAAAAATTAGAGACTTTGACTGAGGAACATGTCATAGGCTCTGGGGGTTTTGGAACCGTGTACAAGCTTGAAATGGATGATGGCAGTATATTTGCCTTGAAGAGAATTGTAAAGATGGATGAGGGTTTTGATCGTTTCTTTGAGAGGGAACTTGAAATTCTTGGAAGCATAAAACACCGCTACCTGGTTAATTTACGAGGTTATTGCAATTCTCCTATGTCAAAATTGTTGATTTATGATTTCCTACCGGGTGGTAGCCTTGACGAAGCACTCCATGGTAAGATTTATGTTTTTGTTATCACTTAGTTTATTTGTTAAAAAGGCCTAAAAGTTTGATGTGTGAACACTTGTTGATAAGGCAATGTAATGCTATCTACTTTCTGTTTCTCTTTTCTATGTTGATGAGTTTTGGACAGTTATTTCTATTTAGAAAAAGAAATTCCTACTCAATTGGGATAAACTGTGACAGTGTTGCCTCAAGTGTTAGATCCAAAGATATCTATAATGAAGTTTTGATTTTTATAACATTGGTTATAAATTTGCTAATTTTGTTGTGAACTTTTTTCTTCAGCCTTTCATTTAAGGCCTTGCATTCTATCCATCAACTTTCATTTGTAAGGGTTAAACAAGGAACATTAATTAATTTTTATGGATTGTACAGAAAGATCTGAGCAACTGGATTGGGATGCACGCCTGACCATTATTATGGGAGCAGCCAAAGGACTGGCCTACTTGCATCACGATTGTTCCCCTAGGATCATCCACCGTGACATAAAGTCAAGCAACATTCTGCTTGATGGCAACTTGGAGGCTCGAGTGACTGATTTTGGACTTGCCAAATTGCTAGGCGATGAAGAATCACATATTACAACAATCGTTGCTGGAACATTTGGTTATCTAGCTCCTGGTAAGCAATGTACTTGTACTTGGATTTTGTGACATGCAACTGATTTGATCAAACTGGTTGGAATTGAGATTTTGAAATATGTTCACTCACAAAGCCACACTTACAGCCAAAAGATTTTCCATATAACTTGTAAATTGGGTTTTGAAAATGGCTTTACCTGTTTCTTTCCTGTGTTATATTCAGAGGATACATTGCTCTGAGAGGAAAAAAAAACTTGAGAATAGAAAGAGAAATATTTATGCTAACTCTAATAAGTGGGATACCTTTTCGATATCTCTTTGGTAAGGCTTGTTACCTGTGAGAAATTATTAGGTATACCAGAAGTTGTACTCCCTCACATGAATATGAGATCCACCATGAAAATTATCCACGAGTCCCACCTTTATGCGAGAGAGGGAGTACAACTCCCAGTATGCTGAATATATAATTGAAGACATGATCCTAACAGTATATCTTGACTTGCAATGTTTCACATAAGGTGTTTACCATCCAAACTAGCTGTCATTCTCTTTAGGTTATGATTTAATGAGTTCTGATGGTTATTTTCCTGGTTGATCTCTGTATATGTGATATCATGGATTATTTTCACAGTATCATTCCATTATCATGTATCTTTTTTCACATTATCATTCCATTATCATTTATCTTGAGCCTGTTTGACTCCATTGGCAGAATACATGCAAAGTGGTAGGGCAACTGAAAAGACCGATGTTTATAGTTTTGGGGTCCTGGTGCTTGAAGTACTGAGTGGAAAGCGGCCAACAGATGCATCATTCATTGAGAAGGGCCTGAATATTGTTGGTTGGGTATGTTTCTTGATGAAAATTTGGTTTCAGTTTGGTTATTCTCCTTTTTTTCTTCCTTTTGATGGTAATTAATTTTCCATCATTCAATATCATGATATAAATCAAGAGTGGCTTGAACTATGAATAGAAGCATGATAATGGAAAATGTTAGTCGCCTCCCTTCTATCTGATCTCTTTCTATGAACAGACCGGTCTCTAGTTTTGTATCTATTTCTTGCGATGGTGGCCTACTGAGACTCATTTAATTCCACTGGGTAAACTTTGCCTTAGTACAGGCATACTTCTGTATCAAGTTCTCCCCATTGTAAAGATTTGATTTAGTCCTCAGACCAGTGAGGTGCTTTTAAGCGAGTGAAAGTAGTCTTTTAAAGCTGAGGAAAATGTATATAATATATATATATAAAGCATACTGTAAATAGAAAGATTAAGGGTATGTAAAAGAAAATAAATTCCATTATGTTTATATTTCCTTTTTTTTTTTTTTTAATATGTAGGAAAGATATCTGGTTGTGTCATTTTTAATGGAGCATCAAAGTTGGTTTTCTTAATATTTTCCTGCTTTGCAGTTAAATTTTTTGATCACGGAGAACAGACCACGCGAAATTGTTGATCTAAACTGTGAAGGGGTGCAGGTAGAAAGCCTTGATGCCCTGCTTTCAGTTGCCACCCAGTGTGTTTCTTCAAGCCCAGAGGATAGACCCACCATGCACAGGGTGGTTCAAGTGCTTGAATCTGAGGTCATGACCCCATGTCCAAGTGACTTTTACGATTCCAACTCTGATTGAAACCCATGTAGTGACAGTGAAGACATGTTTGAGTCCACATCCATTACTGCAGCTTCTGGAAAATTGAAGAAGCAATGCACAAGCAGGAAAAAAGGGGGCTTAGAATCTGCAGCAGTCATGTATCATTTTATTCCTTCATTCTTTCTGCAGATTTATCACAATTAGAGGATACACGATTTCATCTGGTTCTCTTGGTAGAAAATTGATTACTTATCAGCTGGAATTTTCATGTCCTCATTTTGCATGGGTGTGCGAAATACTGTCTCTACGACAGTGAGTTTCCTCGTGTGGTATGGGCCGTTTATTCATCAGAAGTTCTATTTTTTTGGCTCTGATTTTCCATCTCTTGTTGAAGTCCCCTTGTTGCATTTGTTCTTCCAAATTTAAATGTATATGAAATTTGTATAAATTGAGGACACAATCTTGCTTTTGCAAGAGATTCTTGTTTTCACCATTTTTGTAAAATATGTTTCATTGCAATAATCAGCTCCTTTGAGTGAATTTAACTTTTCCCAAGGTTCACTATGTTAGTTTTTCCTTTTTCTTCAATTCTTCTATGGGCAATTTGGCATTGATTGGTACCGTTGTTACTGCATTCACTGCGTTCTAGGCTGAAATTAGGGAAAGCTGTTGTGGCAGATGCATTAAAAACAGTAGTGAACAAGAACAACATGAAAAAGATGAATGGTGAGGCATAAATGCTGACTACGAGAATGATTTATTCGCTACTCAAAACTGATGAAATGCTGGAGATAATGGTGTTGGTCTATACTGTTTCTTTTTGGTAAACATCTATTTTGCAACCAGAGGGTGAATCTACAAGGGCAATAGTATAGATTCTTTTCTCTTTGTCCCTTTTCAAAATATTTCCAGCAACCTTAACATGTGTACTTGTTTAAAATGGTGAAATTTTATAATATATGTTTGTAAATCATTTTCCTCCTATAAAAAAGGTTAAGATTCATAACATTTTTTCGCAGATGAGTTGACAAATAATGAGCTTATTTATATTGCTATTAGAATTTGGGTTTTGCATGGTGTGATGCAGATCTTTAATAGGTAATCAGCAGTGAATAAATTCTCTATTCTCTTGCTGGTGTAAACCAAAATTCTTGAAAGTGTTAGTGACGCCAACTAACGTAAGGATATAAATATGATGAAAATATAAAATACAAGATTGATATTAAAACCAAATATAGTAAATATTAAAACAAAGAGTATAGGGATGTAGCGAAGTATTAACCTAATCCTGGAGGGATGGTGGTCCACTTTTCAGCTGCTTCACTAAACGCCTCTTTACACTTCCAGTTCTATGAGGGAAGAAAAAAGAGGATGGCGGTAGCGCTACCATTTGGTGATTGTGACATCATTTTTGTTAACGGTAAAGTAGGTAAAGCATTTTCATTTATGTAACTTACTTGCATGAAATGAATTACAAATCATGGAAGAAAACCCTACCATAGGTTACGTCAGTGGCTGCTTTCCTACCCAAGGGGAGAACAACAACCTAAGCTCGCATCAGAGTGAATTGCAAAACGTTTTTTTCCTTGGCAGTTCAGTTTCAGACAAATCCTTCGAAATTTGAAGTCTCGTCCTAACCTTTCATTCTAATGCAGTTTAACCCTGCAGCCGAAAAGATAGAATTGCAAAAATTTCTTCGACGTGTTCCTAAGAGAAAATTAAACAAAATCCCAATCCCAAACCTTGGTACAGACTGCATTCATCCTCAACCGTATGATAAAAACCTTCTCAATAAATTGTACAAGAATTTAGTTGTTAAATGGAATTAATCATATGATCTGTGATTTATAACCTCGTATTAGCAGTTTAAAGCTGTTTCTGTTGGATCAAATAAATGGTGTACAATGTCTTCAAAGAGATATACATAGTTTATGCAATCTTTGAATGCTGCTTTAATCTAAAAGTTTGAATTGTTGACAAGATGTAATGCTGTATTCTGTGGATTAAACCAGGATCAGGAATCTGCATACTACCAATAAGCAACTTATAATCTGACAATGTCGCATCAGACAATGGCTCTAGGAACTCACACCTAGTTAAGATTTCGGGTGGAGGTACTCCACCAATAAGATTCGTCTCCAGTTTTGGCATAACATTGGTGAGCTCTTTAGGCACTTCAATGACGGAGCTTTTGATGGCGGAGGGAGTTGCACCAGGGATTACCTCCTGCTTAAAAGGCAGTGCTCTCGCAGCTTGTAAGCAGAACTCAATCCATTGATGGATTAGTGGAGATGGTCCTCTGATTCGCCCCCGATCTTGTTAGTTTCAAGTCTAGAGGAAGCTGGGATCGCCTGCAAAATGAACAAAACTTAGGAATAAGCATATGCTACAGATTGCAACATACTGCTATCATTCACAGTTGGTATAGGGTCAATCACCATGGCCTATCTTAATCATCAATTGCACCACCATGGCATAACAGGATCATATATTATACTGCAACTGCCAATTCTTTTCCAACAATTCATGGTTAACTTAAAAAACGACAAGATTTTCAAATTGAATCCAAGTAACACAGGAAAGTGAATATCTAATATACACTGAAACAAATAAGAAAATACCCATAGATCAGCCCATAAGCTAGTTCCAGACTTCGGGACTACAACTGCAACATTAGACATGCGCTTGGCCACAGGAAGAACATCACTACTCCACCCAACAGCAACCCATGCATCTCCCATGCTAAATGTTTTCAGATAGTACATGCTGTCGAACAGTCGAACCTACATTGAGCCAATAAATGTGAATATTAGGAGTATTACTTTTCAGGCAGTGACATTTCTGGTATAAAAAATTCAGGCTCCCAAAGAAAAACCTTATATACAATGTGCATTAAGGGAAGTCAACCCCTCATTTATGACAACTTAGTTCATGATTTAATTCTTTCTTCATTTTAAACCTTTTTGCTTATTTGTATAAAAAACTTGTTTAAGTAGCCACTTACCGACTTCATGCAATCATATTATATTACAAGGTTGGGATACTAAATTAATGGTAAAAACAAATGAAAAACGAGACAGAACTGCAAATCATACCACACAAATCTTACCTACCAAGGTCCACTACCCTAGCATGCTACAATCCTGGCTAACCTATTCAGGACATCAGACTTTATTGATTCCACACGGTGAAATTAGAGATCAAAACAAACAACAATATTTCCATTAACAGAAGCAGCCACAACAAAACTAGGACATCGGTCAACCCCTTTATTGAATACTGATTATCATATCGAAGAATCTAACAATTACTTTTCCCTTGTTCAATGAGTTTCCAAAAAATCATTCATATACAACTCTTTGAGTTCTCCTTTCAGTCAAGAATTCCCAGCAGATTCCATTTTTATTTAAATTAGGGGAGCATCAAATGCAGTTATCAACTCTTAGCTACCTGTTTGCCAAGTAATGCCAGATTCTGCTGGACAGCATTCCTTCCACCAGGAACTTGCAAATCAATGTTCTTTGTATTGTATGATGCCCCCATATACTTTAAAACTGAACCAACAACTTCTCTAGGAGAATCAACCATTGAAATCCTCCCTGCAAGCTCAGGCCGCCATAGATCAGCCCAGTCCTGCAACAGTGGCTATATTAGCAGAATGTGCTATACAAGGTCAACTCTCAATTAACTAGCTAAGGAAACTATAGGAGAATAATAAAGTTAAAATAGAGCGACAGCTAGGAGATGACCAAATGTCCAATTTTCCCACCCCAAATTGTCATCCACTTTTCATTTTGCAATGTTTTATGATCCCTGTCCATCATTACTTTCAAGCTTAAAAATTAGAAAAACATACAGCATTACCTTCAATTATAATAGAGAAAAAGGGAAAGGAAATAAGAAAGGTTTAAAGGGAGTTATAGGTACTCAAGGAAAATCTAGACCAAAAACCACTCCTTATGTTTAACAAGCTTATGCCACATTTTGATGCATAGGCCTTGCTCCGCGAAGAAGGGAAAAATGCCAGACACAATACCTCTATAGGAGCCAATTTATGCTTTTGAAATTTACTTTTCTTGTAGGCGATCACCATGCTGCCCCATCGATATGGAGCAGCCCATATTTTACCTTCAGGATCTATTTCTCCCTCATCGTTCCTGCATAGGTATACCTGAGACATGATCAGAGGAATTTCTAGGAAACCCATGGAGAAGAAGCATATTAGCAATAATTATGCTATCTTATATTTTCAAATGCAGGCTACACCACCAGTGCAACTTAAGGTTACTTCCTTGACATTGATAAAGTGCAGCAGCATTGAACAGTAAAAAAATAATAATAAAGAAAAACATAATTAGTGCAGGGCATTCCATTCAACGGGACAACTATCTTTAATTTAGCTTTATTTTTTGGAACCTCTCTCTCTACTTTCTTCCCAGGGACGACTTAATTGAAATAGGATTTCTTTTGTTTTTATACAGCTACCAGCTGCTGCAAACAAATTAGACAGATAACAATAAAAGAATCAGTTTAACTCTGCTATCAGCCTAAAGGATTTTAAGCCTAGAGGATTTTAAGAACCATACAAAATCTCCTCAAAAAGGAAAAGTAAATTCTAACAGCAAAAAATTGGCAGAGTTTGGAGACTGGTCGTATTCTTACCTTCCACTTGTCACTTAAGTCTTTAAACCAGTCCTGCTCTTCTACCCCTCTCATGGGCTCAATTATAGCATTTTTAATTGCAAAACTGAGCCAAGAGTCACCAACACTAACAATATCAGCAGCCACAGTTGACATGGGACCGATATTACGTTTGTTAAAGGACATTGATATGTCAGAAAAAATATTTTCCAGACTTCCAAGGTACTTCACACGAAACCTCAACCTTCTTCCTTGAGACTGAATAAAATCCTACAAGATGTTAACCACCCAGACATAAGTCCACGTAAGTTCATAAAGTAATAGCACTATAAATATCAACCACAGCATATTTTGTGCTATACAAAAATCTTTTTTCTTCTTCTAACCTTTATTGAGCGAGCACATACACTAAATTCATTCTTAAAATCAGCATTCTAATACTATAAAGTCATGGACTTTCTCTATTTAATATTAAGTTATAAAACTACCCAGACTTGTAAACAGCAAAAGAAATTCAATGGCCACATAAATTTGGGAACCTTGATCCATGAAGGAGGTATAGAGCCACGCAAAGCAACAATTCTAAGAGGAACAGACAGCGCGAAAGTTTTCGACTTCCAATTCTCAAATTCAGCATTCAGTTCCTTCTCTTCATTCCTCTCCATATTATCAACATTTCCCTCAACACCACCACCATCATCTGTTTATTAATCATCATCATCAACAACAATTGATTTATTAAAAAAATAAAAAAATCCTTAAAATCAGTTACTGTAAATACTAAAAATTCACCACCTTGAGTTACTGAACTCTCCTCCTGTGATGTTAATATAGTGTTAACAGGGAGTGAAGGAGAGGAGGCTGCTAGGCAGACCTGGATATTGAGGCCGAAGAAGAGAACGGCGGAGGTCGCGGCAATTCGAAGCCATGTGAAAGGATGTTCGCTGGGGGTTGTTGGTCTCGCCGGCGAACGGAATGAGATGGCCCGGTGGCCAGATAATTTGAGGTGGGGGAGGAGGATTGAGGGTTTTGTAGGAAATTGGAGCAGGAAACCTGGGAATTTAGGGTTAGGTTTAGGATTTAGAAATTGGGAATGGGAGTTCAGTGAGAGATTAGTGGGGCAGAGAAACGACATGCGTGTAAAGAGTGAGTGGATGAGTGACCGTTGGTGAGCGATGAACTGATCCCCACCTCAACTATGAAATAAGATATAGGTGAACTACATTTTTGATCTTATAGATTTTCAATGTTCTACTTCTACATCCACAATTTAAAATTTTCTAATAATACCCCTATAGATTTTTTTTTAAAAAGTTTCCACTTTGCCCTTTTTACTAAATAGTAACTAACAAAATGTTAATATTTTTGTTTTATTTTCTTGATTTTTTCTCCTTCCTATCTCAAATCTCCATAAATAATACTTCTTTGTTCTTCCATCTTACAAAGATAGTCTTTTTTTTATTTTTCATACGAGTTTTAAAAAATTATTAATTGTTTGTCATATCAATATTTTTTTGCTAAAAGAATTTAACCACTTCTGAAGTTTAAATCATTCGAGGTTGAATCTTTGAATTTTTTTTTTATTAATTTTGAAGATCTCCAAACTTTTTTTTAAATTTATCCCATCCTTTAGTTTTTTGTCATTTGTCTTAACAAAAAAAAAAAAAAATCACACAAATAGTTTCATAATGCAAATCATTCGAGAGAGATTTATGTGGAGTTCTATAAAAAATTTGAAATCATTTTGGAGTTATTTTCTATTTTTTTTATTTTATTTATATTTTTTAAAAAGCAAATATAGTTTTTGATTTTGAAAATTTTTGGACTTTTTTCTATGAAATAGATTGAATTTTTTCAATGTGTGTATAAAATTTCAGCTCAAATACCAAGAATTGATTTTTTTTTTTAGTGGGAAAAATAATAGCTAAAAATCATACTATGAACTAAATCTCAAAAAAATTAAAAGTTAAGGATTCCCTAAAACCAATAAAAAAGTTCAAGGACTCAAACTTAAATGACTTAAAATTTAGGGATAGTTAGATCCTTTTAACCATATTTCTTTGTTCATACTTTCCTAAAATATATATATATTTTTAAATTGTTATTAGTTATCAAATTTAATCATGCATTACATGAAACCAGTATTAATTTAAGAATAAATTCTATCCAAAATTAAGGTGGTAAATAAAAAAATTCATTAAATTAATTAACAATCAAGTTTAAAATAATTATGAAAAAAATAAGATACTAATGAAATATTTAACTTTCAAAATTTTACCATGCAATAAAGTCTCTCAAAGAATGAATATTTTTTATTTAACAATAATTTTTTTAAAAAAAATTTATGTTAAATGTATTTGTATGTATAAAGAGAAAGTATAAAGAATATTGATTTTTTGTTAGTGAAAAAAAATGAAGAAATAATTGATTTTTTTTAATCAATTAAGAGTATTTTTTAAAAAATACATTATTTAAAATTTTGACCAAACAAGTATTTTGAAATAGCTATAAATAGGAAAAAAAAGACAATCTTTTTGTGATAAAGGGGTTATAATATTCATAAAAATATTTAAAAACCTAAAAAAAATTAAAAGTAGAAAAAAAACCCTATTTTAAAACCCTATGTTGGTATCAAATCAGCAAATTAAACTTATGTAAATAATTTGTCAAATTCAACTTTATGTCTATTTTTCAATGAGTTAATTATAACTTATTTTCTTTGACAAAATTAATTAATTATCTCTTGTAGTTTCAAAAAACATATGTTCGATCTTTGTATTTTCAAATATTTTTAATCATTTATAACTTAGTCATTCCATCCGTCAATTCCCTTCATTTATTTATTATTATTATTATTATTATTACAAGTAGAAAACAAAGAAAGAGTTAGTAGGATGGAAAACTTTGATAATGGAAGAAGGAATTTCTGGAACAAATAACTATCAATTGAGGATGCTTGCATTGGTCATCAACCTATATATATATAGATGTGTGTGTGTTTGATTAATTAATTTTGGTAAACAATAGTAAGTGATTTATAATTAACTCATATTTATTTATTTATTTGGTTCTTAACCATGAACTTATTAACTTTTTTACACTTTTAATGTTTCAATAAGATGATTAAATGATCTGTGAAATTTGATTAAAACGGAGATCAAAGGCATCTAAATGCTTGAATTCTTGCAACATGCCAAAGCATATAGGCGTATTAGATACACGAAAGTGAAAGTGAATTTCTTATATTAATTTGCTGGGCAGCTAACCGAGAAAGGTGTGTAGGTTTTTTTTTATCATTATTGTGGTTGTGTTCTTGCCTACTTGCAACAATTTTGTCATCTAGGACTTTTATGAATTCATTTCCAAATTATAAAAAAATGGACCAAATTCCGATTTATGAATTTTTTTTACTACATATATACTTAATTTCCACCTTAAAAGGCTACTAAACCATGTAGTTTCAATTTAAGTATTTTTCATCCATTAAAAAATTTTTTATTGAGGGTTAATAAAAATTTTCTAGCTAAAATGTTTAATTGATGTTTTTTTATTAATCAAATGGAAATTTAAAGTTAGTGTGAATCGAAACTACTAAATATAAAACTATTATTATAAGTGCAATATATAACCGAGGTTCGCCGAGAGGGACCGTGGAGTCGTCGTTGGGGGAGAAGTCGGTAGGCAAGTGGGTCTTCCGCACCATCCTTTCTACCGTCAATGTAGGATTTTCACCTACTACCGCGTGATAATGTTATTCCGCTCCTTGAACCTCTCCCGCATTGCCCTCGTCGTCTAGGTGTATTGAGTTGGGGTTTATTCGAGCGGCATTGGCGTCGGGACGGTGCAATGTTACGGAGAAGTAGCTAGTGCCAGCTGATTAGGATAAATAGTGAAATGTCTCCGACCTAATCTCGTAAAGCCTCCTCTTCTTCTCCCCTTTTACAGCATTGAAGTATATGGAGTCCGTGTCGACTTATGGCTCCTCAATTCCAATCTCTCACTATCTCCTTACATATTCCCGTATCATCTCCTCTACACATTCTTGCATAATCAAAATAATTATAACATTAATAAAAAATAAAATAATTAAGTTTTAGATTATACTTTCATGTGTATAATATAAAAATGATAAAAAAAATTACCGTTGTAGACTAGGTTTGTAAATCGATGAAATTCTCATTTCTCCGCTTGTGAGTGACCCTAAACAACTCTAAATTTGTAGATTGACGTCTCAATTTCACAGCTTGAAAAAAGTTGACACAAATAATATATGATATGTAAATATTAATTTCTTAAGCATTTAATAATATATGATAGGATTTATCAAGTGGTGGGCATGCTCGAAGCATATATGGACCCTCCCGTATGCTTGGACAATCCTACACTAACACCACTAGTCTTTGACATCTAGTTACGCGATGCCTACTCTAAACATACTTAACGATTAGGTGTGGCAAAATCTTGCTACCATGAATCCCACTCCTCCTCGCCTAAAAAAAAAAAAAAAAAAACCTTTCATCCTTCGTACCATGCTTGTGGATGAAGTCATAGTAGCACTTCCTAGCCAAAGCCTCCTAAGCATCTCTAGCCCACACCTCCATGGTCGGATCCTAGTAAAAAAAATTCTACATGAAAAGAAAATTAATATTAGTTCATTTCATGTTAAGTTAATAATTTAAATGTATACAAATAAATAAGTAATATGTTAACTTAAACTCATTGTAGTAGAACTGTTTCATATACTCGTAATGGACTTCCACGATGAGCCACCGATGTCTAACTCGCTCTTTAAAAATCATATGTATCCTTTTAGGCTATGTTTGTTCGGGAGAAAACAAGTTTTAGGAGCTTGTTTTTCTCATTTTTCGATGTTTGTTTTACTTTCGGGAAAAAGTCTATGAAAAATGATTTTCGATCAACGGAAAATGATAGAGTATTCTTGAAAAAATATTTTCGAGTTAAAAAAGAGAAAAGCATTTTCCTTCTCACAAGCGGTCTCGCTCTAGGGTTACTTATATCTCTCTCTCGATATATTTTAATAATTTTTTCTCCATCTTTTTTTTATTTAAAATATATCAAATTAATTTTCAATTATCCCTTATCAATTATTTAATTATTTTTTCTCTATTTCTAATAACATTTGATTTTTTTATTTATAAATACATTAAATATTCTTAAAAATCATTTTTACACCTTAAAATTATTTTTATAATAAATATTTCAATAATTTATCTCTATTTTTTTACTATTATCTCAAATACCAGCTAAACTATTCTTAAATGATTGAAAATGATTATTATAAGACTATAATCCTTTATAAAATTTTGTTGGTAATTGTAGTGAATAATTATCTATAAATGATAAATAATAATTTGTAAACCTATTTTTTAGACTAAATTATTAGTTCATTTTTTTTTAAAAAGAATTCTTAATTAAGTTACCAAAATAACAATGCCGGGATTACTCGAATTTTTTTTCACTAAATGTGAATATTGACTTAATTTTGTCCCGGGTAATTTTGATGAATTAGTTTGACGAGTTAAAAAATTAAATTTTATTTTTTGAATTTAAATTTTAGAGTCAATATTTATAAAAATTTATTAATTTTTTCTAATTTTATCTTATGTTGTGAAATTATAAATATGCCTTTTTGAAGTTTTCTCAAAACTCGTTGATGTAACAATCACATACTATATATTTTTTCAATAGTTTTTTCATTAATTGCCAAAAGATAGAACATATTTTTTTGAAAAATAATTTCCTGAAAAATAGCTTCATCGAAATTGATTTTTCTATGGAAGTTGTTTTCCCCCAAACAAACAAAGCCTTAAAGCAATCTCTTTGACACGATAGGAAACTATCAAACACCATAAAAAAGATATATAATAATTATTGAAATGATATATTAAAAAAAATCATAAAGTTTTAAGTAAATTATTTATTGACAATTAACGATCGAAATCGACTCGTCAAATATCAAAGCCTTGGGAGCTCTCTAGATTAGTAGATACATTAGCGGATTAGGGATCCTCCATGGGAGGCTAAGGAAGTTCAATGGCCACGGAAGCTAGACGAATGGTCGTGGATGGAGATGCTATAGTCGGTGTAGAATTGCGGGCTCTAGGGAAGGAATAA